TATTTGTTCAATTTTGTCACAAAACGAATTTATATCATAAAAGTCCCATCAATACAGCAAAAAATTATTATATGGCAAGTACCTGTTATGGCGGCGACTCTCTTCCGAACATTGTTCAGTGGTATTAAAACACCTTGATTCTTTTGTTCAGCTTCACAGAATTCTTTCACCTTCAATATCATTTCTCAAGCCGAACTTTTTACAACTTTTGGCATTGTAAACAATCTTTAAAATGCACTAAATTAGTTTAAAACTCACAAAAATCTACCACAACAAACGAACTTGATAACATCGACGAACGACAACATGGCCGACCTGTCAAATTTAGTTCCAAAAATCACCGCGGGACTTCTTTCATGAAAAGGACTTTACCTATTTTTTACGTCCGCCATTTTTTTTATGTTGGCAATTTGGCATGACATAACAAAATATACATAATGTAAAAAATAATAACAATATTTATTTACCTCTCTTCCGTGTGCGCGATTTGGTGAAATCGCAGATCTTTATTTATGCGAGATGACGACTTGCAATCTCTCACAGCACAGGTCGTATGAACCATTGTAATTATAAGTATCAAAATAAATTTAAACATTTTAAAAGCAAACGCGCGTTAACCCTGGAAGTCATGTCCCGAGCTTCTAATACGATTGGCATAAGCAGCTCGGGCTCGTCCTTCCCGCGTCTCACCCCTCACACCCCGCACGATTGCCCAGTCTAGACGTCTTTGTCGGACGACTGTATGGACTCATAGACTGTGTTAACTATGGTCCATAGATTACTGTATATATACTAGAGATAGATGCGCGACTCAAATTAAATTTTCTTTAGTGTCGTGCTTTGCGTAACAGATGACGCTTAATTCTTACAAAAGAAGGAACTTGAAAAAAAGGGGAAAAATAAACACATCTGTTGGACTCGCACGAGGGTATTTTGGCTTCGGGACCGCCCGATTACCCACCTGAGCTATTATAACCTTGTACGTAGTGGCGAAATTTACCTTCGTATTCTAATGATATTTTAGCTGATTTTTAACGCCTGAAAACACAGATAAAACGGCATTATCTAAAAATAAATCATCATCATCATTTCATCATTACAGCTCTTCACAAGTCCACTGCTGGACATAGGGCTCCCCCAAAGAATGCCACAAAGCACGGTCCTGAGCCACCTGCATCCATCGACTTCCTGCATATCTTACCAGGTCGTCACTCCATCTAGTGGGGGGACGCCCTACACTTCGTCTGCCGGTACGAGGCTGCCACTCGAGAACCTTTTTCCCCATCGGTTGTCGGTTCTTCGAGCTATATGGCCGGCCCATTGCCACTTTAGCTTACTAATCCGTTGGGCTATGTCGGTCACTCTGGTTCTACTGCGGATATCCTCATTTCTGAGTTTATCACGCAGAGAAACTCCGAGCATAGCCCTCCCCATAGCTCGCTGAGCGACCTTGAGCTTCCTCATCCGGCCAGCAGTGAAGGACCACGTCTCAGTTCCATATGTCATCACTGGCAACACGCACTGGGTGTACAGTCTCGTTTTCAAGTTTTGAGGTATACCTGACGAGAAGATGTGCCGTAATTTCCCGAACGCTGCCCAACCGAGTTGAATTCGTCGATTGACCTCTCGGTCGAAGTTGGACTTACCTAGTCGGACTATTTGTCCCAGGTAAACATACTCGTCAACAACTTCGAGCTTAGTGTTCCCAACAACTACCGGCATAGGTGTGACATGGACATTAAACATGATCTTTGTTTTGTCCATGTTCATCTTAAGACCTATCCGTTGGGAAACACTATTGAGGTCATTGAGCATAGTGCTTAGGTCCTCCAGCGATTCTGCCATAAGGACTATATCGTTGGCAAATCGAAGGTGAGTGATGTACTCGCCATTGATGTTGATACCGTATCCTTTCCAGTCCAAAAGCTTGAAAACATCTTCCAATGCAGCGGTAAAGAGTTTCGGGGATATGACGTCACCCTGTCTTACACCTCTCTGCAATTGGATAGGTTTCGTACTCTGGTTCTGTACTCGGATAGCCATCGTAGCCCTACTGTACAAGCACTTCAACACTTCGATATACCGACTGTCAACTTGGCTGTTGGACTGCAGCACCGCCCAAATTTCGACGGAATCAAAGGCTTTCTCATAGTCCACATACGCCAGACATAGTGGCAAATTGTACTTCCTGGGACTTCTGTACAATTTGCCGAAGGGTATGTATGTGGTCTATGGTGCTAAAGCCTTTTCGGAAACCGGCTTGTTCGGGAGCCCGGAAGTCGTCAAATCTGCGCGCGAGACGATTCGTAATGACTTTCGAAAACAGCACGTAGACGCGGCTCAGAAGGGAAATCGGTCTGTAGTTCTTCAAAAGAGCGTAGTCATCTTTTTTGAAGAACAAGACCACCGCACTTCTGCTCCACGCCTTCGGTGTAATGCCTTCATGGAGGAAGGAATTAAAGAGCTTCTGAAGGACTTCAAGTACCGGTTTTCCGACCGCTTTCAGAAGCCCCGCTGTAATTCCATCCTCGCCTAGGGCCTCGCCGTTTTTAAGGTGCTGGAGAGCCATTCTAATCTCTTTCAGACTGACGTCCAGGATATCATCGGAATAGTGTCGGATAAGACTCGCTCTTGGATCGTTACTCACACTTGCGTGTGGATCGAACGATGATGTGTACAGCTGCCCATAGAACCTCTCAATCTCACTCAAAATCTCAGGTGCCCCGGAAACGATGCTGCCACATTCGGTCTTCAGCTTTGACAGTTGGCTCTTTCTGGCAGACAGATCTCTGGCAAAGACTTTGGAGCCTTGGTTCCGCTCGATCGCTTCTTCAATACGAGCTGTATTGAAGTTGCGTAAGTCCCGCCGCATGCATTTGGAGATCTGTCTGTTCCGTTGCCTGTATGCTGTCAAATCTGTTGAAGAATGTAGCTTCATCTCCCGTCTAACAGCCATGAGATTAAGAGTGTGATCGGAGAGTTTTTGTATTCTTCTGCGGCGGGTCTTGCAGAACTTAGCTCCGACCACATGGACAGTTTCCACGAGCTTGTCATTCAAATCGTCCACTTCATTGCAGTCTTCTAGGCACTGAAAACGGTTTTGTAACTCGAGCTGAAATGTTTCGGGACTTTGGATTAGAGCACGAGGGCGACGCGTTGACTTCATTAGACGAGACCTCTCCAACTTAACGTTTAGGTTCAGTGTGCCTCTAACCATTCGGTGATCGCTGCCGGTTTTCACCCTCGCGATCACTGAGACATCACTGAACAGTTGTCGTCTGGTCGTCATAATGAAGTTAATCTCATTTTTTGTCGAACCGTCGGGGCTCGACCAGGTCCACTTCCTGTGGGGCCGATTCTGGAAGAAAGAGTTCATCATAAAGAGTCCCTCTTTCTCCATGAAGTCGGCCAGCTGCCGGCCCCTTGGGTTCCGTTGCCCTATTCCAAATTTCCCTAATTTCAGCTCACCGTTCTCTCTTGTGCCTAGTTTTGCATTGAAGTCTCCCATTAACACTGTATATTGGGTTTTGGAGGAATGCATGGCTATAGAGATATTCTCATACATTTCCTCCACCTCCTGATCGGGGTGTGCCGAGGTTGGTGCGTAAACCTGTATGACCTTCAGCGAATACCGTTTGGTGATTCTGAGTATAAGGTACGCAACCCTCGTCGACACACTCTCAATCTTTACAACGTTGTTAACGAGAGACTTGTGGACGATAAATCCGACACCTCCTTGGGACAGATGGTCGCCCTCCCGGTAATAGAGCAAGTTGCCGGATTCGAGGATTAACGTGTCCTCCTCCTCTCTTCGGACTTCGGATAACCCTATAATATGCCAGCGTAACTTGTCTATCTCTTCTTCCAGCTCCACAATCTTCTCGTCAGTCCTCAGGGTGCGTGCGTTGTATGTTGCCAGGTCGAGTCGTCGTAGGTGGCAACCGAACCTCCACCGGAGATTCTTAGCACCCCCTGCCCCGCCGTTACCATGGTCGCCACCGTAGCCAGGAATAGCGGGGCCGCGGGGGACTGGGGGCCGTCTCTTCGTAACTTTCATCATGGGGGGTATATTGCCATAGTTGCCACGCTTGGCGAGCGGGTTGGCAACCGCAGTTTTTTTATTGTATTTTTGCCGTTACCAGGAAGATGCTGCTGCCCATCTCCTGCCTGTTTCCCTTTGTCGCCTTTTACGACACCCACGGGAAGATATGGGGTAGTGGATATTCTTAACCGCCACTACACGGCGAACTAAAAATAAATAATGTTCAATAAATATTAATAACAATTTAAGCGTAACTACCAGTGACCACTACTAACTGCGTAGTGCGTATGGATCATTGCGTATGCATAGACTTAATATATGAGTGTGTCCTCTAGTGAGATTAAAATAAGTCTAGCCTAGTCTTCGGAATGTAGATGGAAGCACAAAAACGTATTATTTTGTTCGTAATATAGGTATAAGGCCGGTCACATACATACGGAATTCCGTTTCGAGGTTCCGTTTCGGAATTCCGAATGGGTTGGCCACACACATACGGAATCCCGTTTTGGCCGCAAAATTTCGAACGGAAAACTACCGTACGTGTGTGGCGGGTCATAGATTTTATATGAACTTGCTGCGTTCGGAATCTCGAATCGGAATATTGAAACGGAATCCCTAAACGGAATTCCGTATGTATGGGGCGGGCCTTATGTTCTAAGTTGTAAGTTGCATGCCCATGCTATGGTCTATGCTCTATGTCTATGCTCTTTGCGTTGTAGTAAAACGTAGATGGAGGATTGCTAGAATTTTGATTTGGATTTAGGATTTAGTTCAAACCTCTAATTTCTAGTTTGTGAGTTTGTGACCTTAAATAAGCGCTAGGTACAGGTAGCATCTTATCCTTTAACTTTGTGGTAGAGTTTATTAGGTAATTCTCTACGTTTTACTAATCTGTTTGTGGCCCAACTTATTTCGTAAATAGCAGTTTTATACATAATTTTATTATTATACTTACGATATGGCTGATAGTGATGATGAATATGATCGTAAAAGGCGCGATAAGTTTCGCGGTGAAAGAGGAAACGCTGAAGGAAGCAGTTATCGTAGTAGTGATCGCCGAGAGGAAAGAGGTCGTGGTCGGGAGGAGTGGTCTGAAAGGTAGATATTTCTTTTAATATTACTGACGTGTTCTTTTATTGATGTACAGATGTCGACTTAAATTGACTTTAGATTGGCTAAAGTGAAAAAAAAATGCCTGTCTACCAATTACTTTTATTATTTGTCCTATTACAATTATTTGCAGATCCCAAACTCATTCACACAAACATTCCGAAGTCCCATTCCAAGTTCCTAAACCTTCAAAACGTTCAATAGCATTAGTTGTCAGGTATTGCTTTATCAAATGTCTATATTAATTACATTCAATTTGATGGTTAGCAGTTTCATTTGTAGTGTACTAACACAAGAAAGTTAATTTTTAGATTAATAATCTAGTAGGATTTAATATATTTTTGTGCTTACACAGCAAACCAGCAGAAATCAGGTAGTCCAAAAATTCACTACAACATATATTAGTTCACAACGTATTATGTTCTTAATAGATTAAAGTTAATTTAGTCCTTGTGCCTGCAATTGCTATACCATTATTTTGCTGTTCAAGGAGGATGTATTTAATTTTTTTTTTATAACATAAACCAAAGAAATTAAAAAAAATACTACTTGATACTGTTTTCTGTGTTTTGTGCATCGGCAAGCTTTTTATGTCTATTGACTATAAATTGTGGTAGAGTAGAATTAGATTACTGTAAGGTGTACAATTTCTAAAATAATATCAAAGATTCTTGGATTGGAAGATCTCGTGGAGGTCGTTCTGGTCCTGACTACAGAGACTATCGAGGGGGAGCAAGCGCTAGCCGAGGGTATTCACCTGTAAGAGGAGAAGGACCACCAAACAAAAGAATCAGGCCTGACTGGCCTATAGATGATAGAAGATATGGAGGGATGCCACATGACACATATGGTTCCTATGGTTGGTCACATGATCACTTTGGTCCTCATCCTGCACACCAAGGCTATGGACAGCCTATGCCACCAGTACCGGCAAGGTCAGTTCTTAAATCAATAATTATTATAAACAAACCATTAATATTTAAATAGCAATATTTATATTTACAAGTTTTATGTAAATGCTGTTATTTAACTTTGGTGTTAGGTATTAATCTTTTTTCATAAAATAATACGAGGGCGGCATTGAAAATTTTGGGAATCAAGGAAGTGACACAACATTACTATTTAAAAATGTATTTATTGCTTTTCGAAGTATTCTCTGTGAAATTTGACACATTTTTCCATATGATGGAACCAATCATTGAAGCAACCATTCCATTCGGAAGTTGGGGTCTCCAAAATGGCCGTTTTGTAGGCGTCCACAGCTCCTTCAGGTGATTAAAATCTCTGTCCACGCAATTTATTCTTTATTTTAGGGAAAGTATTGAAATCATTAGGGCTTAGGTCGGGGCTGTACGGCGGATAGTCTAATAATTCTATGTTTTCTTGCTCTAAAAACTCTTTTGTTCTGCGTGCGGTGTGAGAACTTGCATTGTCGTGATGGAGTTGCAGTTCTCTTTACGGAGTTCAGAAACAACCTGTGGCAAATAAATGCTAGCATACCATTCTGCATTAACCATTCTTTGTCCCTCAAGAGGAATAGTCGTAACATGGCTGGTTTTGGAGACCACCATTTTTTTTGCAACACTCCGTGAACGAACAATTTTTGTTGGCTTTAACTCATTTTCGAACACCCGAACTCGTGACTGGTTTTTTGTTTCGGGTTCGTACGCGTATATCCAAGATTCATCACCTGATACGATGTTGTATATGGAATCTTTCGAGAGTTCTGACGCACCAAGTAACGTGAGCCGCTGTTTGCTCTTCACAGAGCGAATGTGGTATCCATCGGGAAAACAACTTTTTTACACCTAATTGTCAACACACTGTTTTTGTGTTAAACCACTTCGAAAGTCATAATAAATCATCGCTTTTGAATTTTCTAGAGTCAATTCCATTTTCTCAACGACTAAACAAGTTTGACAAAACCTTGTGATAAGACCGAGAATCTTTTTTTAAATAAATAAATGGTTTTTTTTTTATGGGATACGATATACGACGATAAGAATAAGTGTGACAAACGAGCACACAGTCCACCTGATGGTAAGTGGTTGCTGCGGCCCATAGACATCTACATCTTTCCTCTGTTACAAATCAAAATGTAGATGCGTTGTCACCCGTGAGGACTGAGATGGAATGCCTCATTTCCAGTAAAAAGGGCCTCCGGCCACCTGCACTCACCAAGCGAAACCCAGAGGTAAAACTCTACTTCACGCTGGTTTTCTGTGAGTTCGTGGTACTACCCCAGTTCGAGCCGGCCCATCCGTGCGACAGCAAAAGCTGCCGCGTGGCTCTACCACTGTTATTCGACTGTATTCGATTTTTAAAACCAAGGAGTTTTCAATTAAAAAGATTTTAATATGACAGGAACAGTGGAAATATTCCATTCCCGATACTTTTAGTGCAACCTATGTATATATAATAAATTTTGTGTAATTAAATTAGAATATTGTTGTTATAGATTCTGACATTACTTTTTATAATCATTTATTTGAAAAAACCTGTACGAGAGTAAAATACTTATGATTAACAATTTCACAATGTTTTACTGTTTAAAAATTAAGGTAGAAATTGTTACCAGTTGTAATAACTTAAACAAGACTACCTGTCTATATAGTTGTGAGAATTAAATAAGATATTACTCAGTCTGCATGTAGTTGTAATGAAGTAGACTTAACACAGCTGGATCAACTTATTTTTATAGAATAATGGTGACAAAGGAGCACACAGTCGTCTACCTGATGACTAGTGGATGCTGTGGCCCATAGATATTACACCTACTCTTGATTAAGAATCAAAATGCAGAGGACTAAAATAGAATGCCTCGTAGTAATTTTTTTTTACATTAATCTAATAAATTATTGCAATGACCTATTTATAAAGATATTTAAGAGATAGTAAAGAAAATATAATTTATTTGTCATCATCATCAGCCTCCAATATTCCACTGCTTTGGCATAATATATATAAATAAAATTATAATACCTTTAAAAAAATAAACAATATTTATATAAACACAGTATTAATTTACTACTATATAATGCCTGTGCCAGAAGACATCATTCTTCCATAGCATAAATAAATATGTAAAACTTAAACCTTACCTTTTACTAAAATAAATATTATAGTCTAAGATCCCACCATTCTTTTCCTACACATATCTATTTATTTATAAAATACAAGTTTTATGAGATAATAGAGGAATATGTTTTTGCCAGGCTGCTTATTTAAGGCTGAATTTAAATTACGATTTTTACCATAATTGCCACACTTTGTAGGTAGGCAACTGCAGTTTTTTATTATTTTAAGTTGTTATCAGGAAGACACTGTTGCCCATCTCCTGTTATAGTTTTCTTCTTGTCGAATCTTACAACACCTATGAGTTGATATTATGTGATGATTGTATCCCGCGCCGCCACACGGCAACCTAGTTATGGTTACACCAGCACCACCCATAATACAGATAAAGCGTCAGCATAAATACATAAACGCTGAGCATGTAGTAATTAAAGGAGACTGTAAGCAGAGAGTAAGGATTGTAAAAAGGAAAGATCAGAATAAATTAACATCTCTCTCTGTGAATGCATATTTTGTAATTAGTTTTTAAAAAGCTCTCGGCAGCTCCCTCAACTTCACTACCTTGATAATTATCAAATTTTAAATTTTTTCTGGTAAAGGTTGTTGCATGGATTTTCGCAAAAGTATTATATTTTGCCTAACAAGAATAAAACAATTATTAGTATTAATTTAATAACAAAAGAATCTAATTAACTTAATTAATTTACTAAAATACTAATAACTAAAATAATTAATTTAACATTTTTATCTAGGATGCATAATTTAGTAATGGAACACACCCTCCTCTCACCTCAACTATAGTAGCAAAAGACGCAATATTTTGTGACACGTACGAAAGGCCCACCCTGCGCCTCTTATAAAACAAATAGGCAGTTATGGTTTTTCTGTATAGTAATATTATCAGATACCCCATATTGTTCCATGGGTGTCGTAAGAGGTGATATAGGTAAACTGAAACAGGAAATGGGCAGCAGCATCTTCAAGAGAACAACTCAAATTAATTTAAAAAAACTGCAGTCACCAACACACCAGTCAAGCGTGGCAACTATGGCAAAATCTATGGGGGTGGCCTATGCTCAGCAGTGGACTATTAAAGGATGTCATGGTAATGGTAATAGAATATTATTAGAAACTGTCTATATTATTATTATTATTCAAATATGGCTAATTTGCTTATGATATGTTTAAAGTGTGTCCTAAATAAAGATAAGGCAAATGCTTTTTATTAGCTGATTTCGGATGTTATAAACTTAAAGAATCATTGAAAAAAAAATTCAATTGCGTCTTTTTTTTCCTAAGACACTAGTGCATAATATGGCATTTTTTTAATGATTTTTTTAAGGTAAGGTTTAGTAAGATAATCATTCACTTTTTCTTTAAATTATGATTTGTTTCTAAGCTACTTAAATATTTTCATTTTAGAGATGCAGTTTTACCCATGGGTCCAGTAGATGGTCCCCCTACAATGATGACCTTCAAGGCCTTTTTGGCTGCTCAAGATGACTCCATTACTGTAGATGATGCCATTCAGAAGTATAATGAATATAAACTGGAGTTTAGAAGACAACAGCTTAATGAGTTTTTTGTTGCTCATAAGGATGAGGAATGGTATGGATCATTTTCTTGTATTTTACATTTACCAAACTTTGCAAATTTGGGCAATTTTTTAAAAGAAATACAAAATTTAAGTTGTATCGACTTAAAACGTGCAAAGTTGTCATTATGAGTAATTTTGTTTCATATATTTGCTGGTATTTAAAAAAATCTAAGTAATTACTTACCATAGCCCAACTTTATATTTAAATTATGACTTATTAAATTTATTTTATTTATTAGATTTGGTAAGTTTGCCTAGATTTTTTTAAGTGTGCTATGCAAATATTAACAGTAACCTTTTTTCCCCTACAGTCTACAGCGTTTTCCTGTGGAATTGCTGGACACCGTTAAGAAAATTATATTCAAACTTGTACAAATGTTAAAATGTGTGTAGCTAGCTATTTTCGCGTTGACCCGTAGCGCGCAATGCTACAGGTTTCGTTTCTGTTAGGGGTAGGGTTTAAATAGTCCACAAGTGTGGAACAGGTGAGACTGAAGATTTTTTAAACTTTTATAAGTCATTTTAGTTAACTTTTTCATCTGACTACTTGAACTGATCTCTGGATTTGACAAAGGGCTTTAATGGTATGTTAGACCAATTTTCATTTGTGCCATTACTTCCACATTTTTCATTATAATTTATACTTATGATTGGGATGTTATAATGTTTAATAATTCTTAAAATATAGGACATATACCACCAATACACTTGCCAGACTTATTTTCAAATATTCGCAGTCACAATTATCAAAAAAAATGGCTGGCAGACTGACAGAGTAGATACCATGTCTGTTTTATTTGGCTGCCTTAATTATCACATGCTCTGCGTCGCATGAAAACATCGTGAACCCTTTATATTTTGATTACATTACATGTCGCCAACATGTATTTAGGCAGCCCAGCTGACACTTTCTTGCCCTAAAGCCATCAGAAAAGAGAAGAGATCTGTGTCCAGCAGTGGGACATATTATTATATAGACTGAAACTAACTTTTATGTCATAAAGTGAAATAATCTGAAATATACAAGAAGAAGACACATGAAGGCCCCTGAATCAGTAGCCGGTTTTTGATGAACCTTTAATATTTTTTAATTATATATGTACTGTTTTAGTTTATAAATTTCAATTCAATAATAGCATCATTATTACTTTACTTCATTGTTGACACCCACAACTGTTCTGTCTAAATTATGCAATAAGTGTGACAGGCCGCTCAAACTTTGGAACTTTGTTTATTTTACACTGCAAATGTTTGTTTAAACTTTGTGTAAAAACGCAAAAATATCCGTGCCATACGTAGCGACTATGCAGTAAGCTTTTTTCGTATTTGAAGCTAAGTCTGGCTCCAAACCAACAAATTTAGTGTGAGAAGTACTAGTCTGTGCATTAATTTTATGGAGGTTGGTCTAATTTAACGTGTTACATAAATTTTGTAGCAATTTACACTTTGATTATGTGTGCTTTTACTTTGACATTTATCCAATTAAACTATGTTCTAGGTTCAAGATCAAATATCATCCAGAAGAGTCTGTGAAACGTAAAGAAGAGCAATTAACGGCATTGAAGGTATACATTATTCATATTAATATTAACTATTGTTAACTTTGCTATTTTTTATATTATAAAATATTGCTAAGCTATTTTCTACCGACTTCAAAAAGGAGACAGTACTCAATTCGACTGTATGTTATTTTATGTGTGTTATCTCATAACTTTTTTACTGGGTGAACCAATTTCGATGATTCTTTTTTTATTTGAAAGCTTGTGCTTCACATGTGGTCCCATATATGTAAATTTGATTAAGGTCTGACCAATAGTTTTTGAGTTATTTTTAATATTTTATATTGAAGTTGGTTGTACAAATTTTTTAATTTTAAATTATTTATATTGTAAACAGAATAGGTTAAATGTCTTCTTGGAGTTACTGGAACAAGGGGAATTGGATAAAGTCTCAGTTGATGTTGACAAGTCTGATAAATTAATAAGACTGCTTGATACTGTGGTTATCAAGTTAGAAGGTGGAACTGAAGAAGATCTGAAGGCTTTGGATGAGCCGCCACCGCAAGAAAATTCTAATAACAGTGAGAAACAAGGTATTTTTAAAATTTTAGCTAGTTGACTTTGTATATTTTTTAATTACGGTAATATTGTTTTGAAAGATCTAACATCGACCCGTAGGTGTCTTAAGAGGCGATAGAGGGAAACTGAAACGAGATGGGCAGCAGCATCTTCGTGATAACAATTTAGTTTAGTTTACGACGGGCTGTTTTCCGCAACTCCACGTCTATGCGCGTATTTTGCGTGTGGGCAAGAATAATGTGATTATTCGAGCCATGAGATCTCCCCGAAGAAGCTCAACAATCCTTTGATGTTGCATGCAACTTCGGGGAGTGATCCCGGCGTGCCGAGATGTTTAGCCCTGTACGTAGCGACCTCCGGACATTTCAGTATCACGTGGGCCGCCGTTTCTTCTTCCCTCATACATGCCCTGCACAGGGGACTATCTATAACACCTATAGTAAATAAATGTTTGTTAAAGGTGCCGTGTCCTGTGATAGCACTTGTTACTATCCTGATCTGCAGCTTGTTCAGTCTCATTAAAACTTTGGTTAAGCGAATGTTTATTTCAGGCAGGGCCTCCCTAGCTTGTCTGCAGTCTACTAGATTTTTCCAAAGCTGAGCGTGTTGTTTAGTGAAGTGTCTACGTACCAGTGAAGGAACGTTACCAAAGGGGATTGGTATGATTGGTTCCGGCCCTATAGTGGCCAGATAGACTAGGAGATGGCGACAGAAAATATTCTCCCATTTTCTCCTGTGCAAGCGCACGTCATAAAGAAAATGGCTGCTCTTTGTGTAAAGAATTTTAATATTTTTCCGTGACATTATATTGCATGCCTTTGTAATATAACGTAGTTGGAACAAATTTAAGCTATAATAATGATGGCATGCAATTCGCAACGGCCGACGGGGCTCAAAGGGTTACGTAGAAATGAAAAAAAAAATAGAACATTTCAGTGTTTACAAATTGCATGCCGTTGTAAAAAATTAGTTTTTTTTTTTTCTCAAAAATACTCTACGAATATTGGCATGCACCCCTCGTATGTCCAAGGGTGTGGAGGTGGGCAAAGTGTATCATTTTTGCCATTGGAACATTTGCATCTCGATCAATGAAATGTTCCAAAACACTGATATATTTCATTTGGCTCATTTGGATCATCGACTCAAAAGATATAAAATAAATGTTCCGAATACATTAAGTTGCGTCGCGTGCGTTTATTACTGACTGATCAGTGAAATGGTATGTGGCAACAATGCTGAATAATATAAGTGCTTAGGTTATTTATTGTGTATCCTAATAAGATTGTATATAAAATCGATCCTTCTTCATACTTTAACAAAAATGTCCATTTACACAAAACAACAATGTCTATGTACACAGAATTTTCTCGTAAAGTCTCATAACTCTAACTTTATGATGGAAAGGAAGAAAGTAAGTTACAATAATCACTACGCAATAAAATTCTAAACAGAACTCAGTAGGTTTTCGTAAACAGGCGCTAATGAACATAAATAATTTGACAAGTGCTGCATCAACGTAAAATGACAAATTGTTAATGCAAACATTACATACAAAAAGCGACCGTAAGGTATTTGATACGTCAGCGTCTTAGTGGTAATTTTTACGTGCATGTATAACGACATCGAAAATCCGTACGAGTTGAGTGATACACTTCTTATTTGTTATCTCTATCTGACTTGTATGGATTATAATTATTTCGCCCGCTCACTCACCACTTGCGAGTCAATAATTAAGTTAATTATTGTCTTTGAAGCGTCAGTAGTCTAATGGCAGGGAGCGGACCGCGAACTCGTAAGGTCGTGATTTCGAATCCACCATTCGACTACTGTCGTGAACCACTTCTAACACAAGCATTTTTGAGCTTACCAGAAGTGGTTAAAGGGAATATTAGTAATGGTTAATAACATTACTAGTATTTTTACGTTAAAAAAAGTCTGTCTCTCTCACTCGTGGCTCAGTCGCCTAGCAAACGACGCGTCGCGCGAAATGAGCACAGAGCAAAGTAATGTTTCATGGTTCCAGATCCAAATGATGCATTTGAAACGTTGCTACTGAACCAATCTTTTGAATCACTTCAGTGATTCGGATCATTGAGTCGATTCCGTAAAGAGATACACACGCCTACAAAGGTGGAAAATATTAGGAAAATGTTGTGAAAATTCAATACAACTTTTCCGTGATTTCAAGCTATTTCTAATAAAGATAAATTATTACTTTTTTTTGACCAAATAATTCTGAAATACAAATGGCATGCATGTTTATACATGATCATTATAATATTATAAATAATAAAAGTTGCAACAAATTTAATAAACATTTCCGCGTTTTTTATTTGCATGCCGTTTTGTATTTCATAAAAACATATTATTTTAAGTATATACCGAAAATGGCATGCGTATTAAATAACACCATCGTATTTTAAATAATAATGAAAGTTTCATAAAATATATGAAACATTTCCGTGTTTTTTATTTGCATGCCGTTTTGCATTTCATAAAAACATATTATTTTAAGTATATATCGAAAATGGCATGCGTATTAAATAACACCATCGTATTTTAAATAATAATGAAAGTTTCATAAAATATATGAAACATTTCCGTGTTTTTTATTTGCATGCCGTTTTGCATTTCATAAAAACATATTATTTTAAGTATATATCGAAAATGGCATGCGTATTAAGTAACACCATCGTATTTTTAATAATAATGAAAGTTTCATAAAATATGTGAAATATTTCCGTGCTTTTAATTAACATGCAATTTTGTATTTTATAAAAAATATTATTTTAAGTTTATGATGAAAATACCATGTGTATTTACATCTATAGTTCAACAGAAAATAAATGTTATAAAAAATTGAAAATGAAAATTTCTCAATCTCTGTATGCTTAAATAAAAAATTACAAGCAAAAAAAAAAAATCAAAATCACCAAGAAAACAATTTTTTATTTTACGTGACTTTTTGTTGGAACTAACAATATACTATATAAAATATTTCAGTTATTTAATAAAGTAAACCCGAGTACTTAATAATAGAAACAATAACTTAGTTTGAAGAAAGCCACGTACCAATGTATTGGCAGTGGTTTTTTTTGTTTATTTAAGTAATTTTTTATCAATAAACATGCATGCCATTTGTTATTGAAGTTTAAAATAATATTTACAGACAATGTACAAAAAGGCATGCAAAATAAAAAACAGGGAAATGTTCTTTATTTTTATTTTCGTTAAAAAGCTTTTTTAATTTTATTTTTGCACAAGTTTTTTATGTCAGGCTTGTGTAATATGCATGGCATTTTTTTATCAACTTAAAATAATGTTTTTTAATGAAATATTGATTGATCATGCATGCCACTACTTTACAACTTCCTGTTGTGCATGCCAAATTTGCTAACGTCAATAAATTATAAAAATTAAGTATTGTTCAAATGCAGTTAGAAATCACGGAAAAGTTGTATTGAATTTTCACAACATTTTCCTAATATTTTCCAGCCTTGGTCATACGAGCGGTGCATGCCTATTTTCGTAGAGTATTTTTGAGATAAAAAAAATATTTTTTTTTACAACGGCATGCAATTTGTAAACACTGAAATGTTCTATTTTTTTTTCATTTCTACGTAACCCTTTGAGCCCCGTCGGCAGTTGCGAATTGCATGCCATCATTATTATAGCTTAAATTTGTTCCAACTACGTTAAATTACAAAGGCATGCAATATAATGTCACGGAAAAATACTAAAATTCTTTACAGAAAGAGCAGCCATTTTCTTTATGACGTGCGCTTGCACAGGAGAAAATGGGAGAATATTTTCTGTCGCCATCTCCTAGTCTATCTGGCCACTATAGGGCCGGAACCAATCATACCAATCCCCTTTGGTAACGTTCGTTCACTGGTACGTAGACACTTCACTAATCAACACGCTCAGCTTTGGAAAAATCTAGTAGACTGCAGACAAGCTAGGGAGGCCCTGCCTGAAATAAACATTCGCTTAACCAAAGTTTTAATGAGACTGAACAAGCTGCAGATCAGGATAGTAACAAGTGCTATCACAGGACACGGCACCTTTAACAAACATTTATTTACTATAGGTGTTATAGATAGTCCCCTGTGCAGGGCATGTATGGGGGAAGAAGAAACCATCAATTATTATAGCTTAAATTTGTTCCAACTACGTTAATACAAAAGCATACAATATAATGTCACGGAAAAATACTAAAATTCTTTACTCAAAGAGAAGCCATTTTCTTTATGACGTGCAAGTGCGCAAGGGCTCGTAACCCCTCTATCTCTCATATTTTAGGGTTAGTTATCAATTCTTAAAAAGGCATGCAGGAGAAAATGGGAGAATATTTTCTGACACCATCTTCTAGTCTAAGATCCTCTTCTGGCCAGTTTGTCTGCTGCATCGTTGCCTCTGGATCCACTGTGCCCCTTTATCCATTGCGGACTCACATTGTTGTTTTTACAACCTCATTTAATCGTTGATGGCATTCATATATTAGTCCTGAGCTGCAACTCAGAGCTTGTAGTACCGCCCTACTGTCGGTCAGTATTCTGATGGGGAATACATTAACCTTCCTAGCATCTATTGCTATGGCCGCTTGAATGATACCAATACATTCCGCCTGAAAGACTGTGTTATAGGTACCCAGCGGTGTGCATATGTGGATATTGAGGTCTTCAGAGAAAGTTCCAGAACCTACACCTTCATTTGTTTTAGAACCATCGGTGAAAACTAAACTCTTTTGGGCTTAATCCTTCTGGCTGGTTGGTTTCATTTAATTATATCTTGTGCTTCTTATCGAATACAAATTGTTTAGGAATCTTATCGTACTTGGCTTGTAGGATAGGAATTTTTGAGTGAATTCTATCAATTATGCCTGTATGAGGGACACTATTCTTACTCCAAAGATTTAGGCTCTTGAGTCTGATGGCAGCTAAAGTTGTTGTATATGTAGATGAAACGGGGTTAGCTCCAACATCGCTTCTAAGGCTGCTCTGCTCTTTTTTTATAAAATTAGGGTAACAAACGAGCACACAGTCCACCTGATGGTAAGTGGTTGCTGTGACCCATAGACATCTACATTTATCCTCAATAAAAAATCAAAATGCAGATGCGTCGTTACCCATGAGGACTAAGATGGAATGCCTCTTTTCCAGTAAAATGTGTTTCCGGTTCTCTACACTCACCATACGAAACACAGCAGTGTCAAACTGCCATTTTACGCTGGTATTCTGTGAGAGCGTGGTCCTTCCCCGGTCGAGCCGACCCGTTCGTGCTACAACTCTACTACTAATATATATGGCTCTACTACATACAAAAAAAGAAATTCTTATATAGAAAAGTTCTTATGCAGCCTGTGGCAGCCATATATGCCAGTCTCTGGTAGCGCTGAAGCTTCTTTATAGTGGTGGCTTCATTTGTCTTGGTCCACCATACCAGAGCGCCGTATGTGATCATGGGCCGAATTACAGTTTTGTAAAGCAACAGTATGATTTTTGGCGTCAGTCCCCATCTTTTTTTGCCAATCATGTTTCTGCATTGCCAGAAAGTTATACTAGCTTTGTTGATTTTATTTTCTATGTGTTTATTCCAGTTAAGTTTGCTGTCCAAGGTAAGACCTAAATATTTTATCTCAGAGGATAGCTGGAGTTTTATGCTGAAAAGACTTGGATGATGATAGATATTCAGCATTCGTTTTTGTGTGAACATTACTTGAACCGTTTTATTTGGATTGACGGTTAAGTCGTATTCCCTGCACCATCTCTCCACTATACGGAGAGCCGCTTGGGTCAGGTCACACACTATGCTTGCTGTCTTTCCAGAGACAAGTATTGTCCGGTCATCAGTATAACCTACTGTGTAGAAGTGACTGGCATTTAATTTGCTGATGAGTTCATTGATGACCATATTCCACAGTAGAGGTGAGAGAACCCCACCCTGCGGGCAGCCTTTCTTAATTAGGATTGGTTGAGATTCACCAGCAATCTTTATTATTCGTGTACTGAGCATGTATACTATCCAGTCAATCAGTGCCGGTTCAACTTTATGTCTACTGAGTGCACCTTTTATGCTGGAGAAGTTTGTTCTGTTAAAATCACCTTCTATATCTATGAAGGAACCTAGACATAATTCTTTGTTTTGGATGGCCTCTTCAATCTTTGTAATTACCTGGTGAAGTGCCGATTCTGTTGATTTGACTAGACTGTAGGCGTGTTGCTTGTCGTGTAGTGGTAAGGTCATTAGCGCCGACCCCCTTAATTCCCTTTCACACATCCTCTCCATTGTCTTTAGGAGAAAGGATGTGAGGCTAATGGGCCTGTAGGATTTAGGGTCAGTGTAGTCGCTCTTACCTGGTTTGGGTATGAATGTGACTTTCATTTCCCTCCATCCCCTAGGAACATATTTAAGAGCCAGACAGGCTCTCATTATGGCAACAAGTCTGACTATTAGGGCTTTACCCCCCCACTGTAGGAGTGCCGGGAATATGCCATCAGGTCCTTGCCGCCTTATAGGGGAGGAAACTGTGAATGGCCCAATGGATTTAGTCCATCGTTACCACTCTCTGTGCTAAATTCCAGTCTTCTGCTGTTGGTGTCAGTATGTCCTCATGCCGGTTTGCCTCCTGGGTTATGCAGCAACCTGGGAAGTGCGATTCAATTAGGATGCGTTGGGCTTCATCAGGCGATGTTCAGTAGCTACCGTTGGGTTTCTTTAGAGAGAAGGATCCCGACGTGTTCTGTTTAACTAGAATATTCCTTATCCTATTTGCTTGTTCATAGGTTTCTATGTTGCCACAGAATTTACGCCACCCAGTCGAGCGTCGATATCTGATACATTTTTTGTATTCAGACTTAGCTTTCTTATATAGTAGCCAGTCTTCATCCATTGGGGTATTCATGGCCCTATTTAGGGCTTTTCTTACCTTACGTTTCCTGTCTAGTTCTTTACCCCACCACGGTTGCTTTACCTCAGCATGCCTTGGTGGAGTGATTTCTGGACATGATTAATGGTAGCTATCTATCATGGCCTTAGTAACAGCTGCTACCTGTTCTTCTAGGAGCGACTAATCTGCTATAGTATTTTTCCCCTCAAAACCCGCGAAGACGTCAGCCTGTTAAGGTATTTTGTTTTATCCGTCTTGCGGGGATTTCTCCATGGTGGTGTAGCGGGGATATCGACCTGTAGTACGAAGCAGATCTATCTATGATCTGAGCATGAGGCGTCTCTCGACACATGCCATCCCGGCATTAGTTTAGCTGCTCCTTCTGTTGCAACTGTGAGGTCGATTATTGTGCGACAGCGTTTGTTTATGAAAGTTGGTTCAGAACCTATGTTTAAAATGGTTAGGTTAGCGCTAAATAGATATTCAACTAACATCTTACCTCGTTCATTCGGTCTTTCCATTCCCCAGAGGGGATGATGCGCGTTGCAGTCCGTCCCGATCGCAACCTCTAGTCCGGTCCTCTCGCAGAAGGTCACCAGCCTGCCGAGGTCATGAGTGTCTTCCTCCGGCATGTAGACCGAGGCGACGACTAATCTTCTCTCCTGTGTATATTGTATTGTCACGGCATACATGTCTCTAGGACAGAAATCTGTTAATGGTTGTGCACAGATATCTTTAGTAGTGTAAATACACGCTCTAGGCTTGTCGTGTTCAGAGCTGTAGAATAACTTACCTTTTAGGTTGTTTAGACCTTTAATTTTACCAGCCCCAACCCACGGCTCCGGGATTAAGGCTATGGCCGTCCTTTGAACAGCAGTTTCGCTGTGGTGGAGGTTGCCATGCACTAGGCTAGTTTTGGACGAAGGGCACGCCATCATTGATCGCGTCCTCCCCGTCCCCGCCCAAAAATAAGCCTGCCATCAGATCTCGGGTTTCATCGTCAGCTACCGAGTCTGAAATGGTCGGCAAAATGCAGTCCTCTTCGTCACTCAGTGAGCTGCCGCTGAGCCCGATCTCTACTGGGGGCTTCGGCTCAATTGTGCAGGCCGTTTTTTCACTGGACTTGGCCTCCAGTGACTCCGCTGTACCGGCAGCCATGGCTCCGGTATCCATAATTTCCGGGTTGTTTTCTGCCTCTTTGCTTGGTGGAGTGTCAAAGAATTTACCTCCACGACCCTGGAATTTTACGTTTACCGCCCCGCATACACATGCGAGACGGCGTCCGGCTTTCATCAGGGTCGGAATATGATTCTCCGGCACTGAAACAACGAGGAACCACCCGTCCGTCTGCTTATCAGCCTTGAGTAACAGTCAGTCCCTGATGTTAACCCAGCGGTTCTGGTACGGCAGCGATAACAACTTAAAATTATAAAAAACTGCAGTTGCCAATGTGCCTAAACCAAGCGTTGCAACTATGACAAAAGCTCCTTATGATACTATAGTTGGGGTGGGCTATGTTTAGCAGTGGCCTTTATAGTCTGTAATAGAATAATAATAGTTCTAAATTTAAACATGAAAGTTTTTCCAAACAATAAAAACTAGAAACCAACTTCAACCAGTTAAACAGACTAAAATAAATTCTACATAATTGCTTTTGAAGCAGTGGATTAATTTTTTAAAGTACACAAAGGATTTTAATGATTATGCATTACATGGTTGTGTTTTTATTTCGTGTGTAAATGTTCATACAACTTAAGAAAAAAACGTCAAATTGGGCCTTTCATATAATGTTATTTTATTTTATAAGCTAGTTATTTTAATTATAGCAAATTGCTACTTTTTGTTATTATTATATTAGAGAACTCTGTTGAATGACTAATGAATATGAATTTTTAGGAAATGATAAAAGTGAAGCAGAAAAAGCTGTAGTTATAGATGTGGACGAAGTGAAAGTCAAGGAAGAAAAAGACCACCCGGAACAAGATAAGGTACATATAGCTTTTATGTTTCCATCAATTATAAAATATTTGTTAAGGTACTCATTAACATCCAATTTTGTATTATACATAAGTTCTTCTCATAATGTCTTAACTTATTAACATAAAAGGTATTAAACCCAAAATGGGGAGCCAGGAGATCCATAACACAAGGTTATTATATTTGGGATCATGTCGCCCACAAGAACAAAGAATTATAAACTTATGTAAGATGTTATTAAAATTAGAGCAAGTGAAGTGGAAGAATAATAATATATAAGTGTTTATTGTTATTAATTATACATTAAGTATGTTATATATTAAAAGAGTACATTTTACAGGAAAAAAAGGCTGAATCTCCAAAGCCTACAGCACCTCTTACAATGGAGATAGATCCTCATTTGCGACAACTTCAAGAACAAGCTAAAATGTTTTCCCGATTCAACTCCCAGCCCGGCAGTGAAAATGAGAGTACAGTTCAGGAGAAAGAGCCACGTAAGATTCTATATTGTATTTGTATACACACTATTCTGAACACTTCCTATGCTTAGTGTTAGTCACTAGGCAACTTTTTTATGATATATGGCAGAGCCATGCTGCAGCTATGTCAGCTATATATAATAGTTGTAGCATGAATGGATCAGCTCGACCAGGGAAGGACCACGCTCTCAGAGAATACCAGCGTAAAATGGCAGCTAAACACTGCTGTGTTTCATATGGTGATTGTAGAGAACCTGAGACCACTTTTACTGGAAACAAGGCATTCTATTTTAGTCCTCACGGGTGACAATGCATCTGCATTTTGATTCGTAGTTGAAGAGGGATGTAGATCTCAATGGGCCACAGCAACTATTTACCATCATGTGGGCTGTGTGCTCGTTTGTCACCCTTATTTAATAAAAAATAAACCTTATCTATTTCACGTATATACCATGAATTATCGGCATAATACTGCTGTGTTTCATATGGTGAATAACAAGAACCAAAGACCCTTATTACTGGTAACAACGAATCTGTGTGCGTTTGCTTCTTAATAGTTGTCTATGCACTACAACATCCACATACCATCAGGTGGACTATGTACTCATTTGTCATTTTCTAGTATCAAAAAACAGCCTGGCTCAGTTAGGGCAGAGCTGGGGACGCCGTGCTCTTATGTATTTTGGCAAACTTATTACAGATTTCCTTAGAACTTTTTCCTTCACAGCCGATCATGACGTAAATCCACTCTTAAATTACTTACTTAATTACTTAGCTCTATAGCGTAGCCCTGCTGGCAACTGGATTGCAACATGGCTCTGCCAGTAAAAAGTTCATCAGTGATTTAAAATAATGTAGTTCATTTCTTCATCTTTTTTGGGAATTCAGTGCTATGTAAAAGATAAAAATTTTCTAGCCCCACCGGCGGTGTCGTCATCTAGTTCATCGTCGTCCAGCTCATCGTCTTCCAGTTCAGAAGACGAAGGCGAAACAAACAACCGACGGAAATCCAAGTCTAAATCGAAATCACCAGACAAATCGCCCAAACAAAAGGAGAAGTCACCAAGCGTGGAAAAAATTGTGGACATATCTGAAACAGATAAAGAAAAGGAAAACAACAACGAAAACAAATCTGAAACTGCAAACGATGTTGTTGTTGAGAAAAAGGAGTCCCGTGCTCTGCACAAAACTACTTCAATATTTTTAAGGAATTTGGCACCTTCCATTGCTAAAGCTGAAGTCGAAGCTGTAAGTTTTATTTACTATATATTATATCATAATATATAGTACCATGGTATTTTTTTCTATCTATATGTCACCAGTACGAAAGAGGGTAGTAACTATATCTTTATTTACATGGTAGAGCCACGCTGCAGCTATATTACTGGTGTAGTTGTAGCATGAATTAGTCGGCTCTACCGGGGAATGACCAAGCTCTCACATAATACCAAATAGCATGCATGCATAATAAAATAGCAGCTTCTATTTCTCTTCTATCTATAAGAGACTTAAAATTTGGTACGAATATCCTTTCACCAAGTATAGGTCAGCTTAGTACGGATTTTACGAAATTTCACCTGCAAGGGGTTTCCGGGGGTGTTAATTTAAAAAAAAAGTATATTTTTTCGTGTTTTTGAGTGGGGTCCCTGCATGATTTAGATTCACAAACAGAACAGTTTTAACAGTGGTAGAGCCACGCGCAGCTTTCGCTGTCGCATGGATGGGCCGGCTCGATCCGGGGTGGTACCACGACCTCACAGAATACCAGCGTGAAGTAGAGGTTTACCTCTGCGTTTCGCTTGGTGAGTGCAGGTGGCCGGAGGCCCTTTTTACTGGAAATGAGGCATTCCATCTTAGTCCTCACGGGTGACAACGCATCTGCATTTTGATTCGCAAGCGAGGATAGATGTAGATGTCTATGGGCCGCAGCAACCACTTACCATCAGGTGGACTGTGTGCTCGTTTGTCACCCGTATAGGTGGCACTTTTGTCAAGATCCAAAAATCACCCAGGGGCGGATCACTAGTTATTATAAAAATACAATTAATAATTCTATCACAATCAAATATAGAATGATGACAAGTTCTCGTTCAATATTGTATCTGGTATTTATTTGTATTGTCTTGCCATGTAGTAGCATTTTAAGAGATTCCATCATTTCATTTCATCCCGTGATGTTATAAGAGACTACTATAAATAAAGTCAGTAAGCTATTATGACTTGCAATGGTTGGCGGTTCAACCATCCAGTTTTTTTTATAGCATAATGGTGACAAACGAGCACACAGTCCACCTGATGGTAAGTGTTTGCTGTGGCCCATAGATATCTACATCTATCTTCATTTACGAATTAAAATGTAGATGCGTTGTCACCCATGAGGACTAAGATGGAATGCCTCTTTTTCCAGTAAAAAGGGTCTCTGGTTCTCTACGCTCACCACACGAAACACAGCAGCATTTAGCTACTATTTCACGCTGGTTTTATGTGAGAGCTTGGTCCTTCCCCGGGCGAGCCGATCCATTCGTGCTACAACTATACTATTAATATAGCTGCAGCATGGCTCTGCCACGTAAGTTAACGTGAGACGTCAAATACTTGCGAAACGCAACAACAACAGCGCTCGTGAGGGTAGCAGCATGTTAGGTCGACTGCACTGTGATTGCCTAACTGCCAAATGTGACCAGTATGGCAATTCTCTCTATATAAGGTAGAGTCTATGTCCAGCAGTGGACTTTTACTGGTTGATGAAAAAGATTTTAAAAACGGAAATAGGGGTTTTTACTTACACTACATATTTATCAATATATTTTACATTATAACTTCATAGTTTATTAATATTTTTTATATGTGAAAATCGTAAATACATTACATTAGGTTATGTATTTTATTTGCGACATTTTTATATTTTAAGGTTATGTCAATATAGACATGATCACCTATTACGACAGTACCTATACAGTTTTAAAAGTAACACAGTTAACAAACAGCTGTTTTTATCCAAATAAGTCACAGTAGTCGTTATTAGAAAGAGTCACACAGACATTACAAAAAAGAAAAAAGTTCCCTAAATAGTGTTAAGTTATGTCTATATTTTATATATATTTTTAGGTTAAGGTATATATTGCTATGGGCCAATGTTCTTAATTCTTAAGTCCTTGATGCCTGAAATAAAGTTATTGTATTGTATTGTATTACAGTCTGTTGCTTAGGTCTCAATTGTACATTCATAGCTAACTATGGCCATTGTTACATAGATGTGCAAGCGTTATGGTGGATTCCTTCGTGTGGCGTTGGCCGACCCTTTGCCAGAACGTCGGTGGTTCCGCCGAGGTTGGGTCACCTTTCGTCGGGAAGTGAATATTAAAGACATATGCTGGAATCTTAACAATATACGGGTAAGTAATTATTATTTTAATGTTATTTTTTATTAATTTATTAATTTTATTTTTTTACCGTGTAGTGGCGGTGTAAAAATATCTACTACTTCATATCGTTTCGTCGGTGTCGTAAAAGGCGACCGAGGGAAACAAACTAGGAGATGAACTGCAACGTTTTCCTAGTAACAAATAAAAATAGAAAAGAATGCGGTTGACAACTCGCTTGCTAAGCGTGGCAATTATAGTAAGCATCCCTACATAAGCCACCACTATAAACTAGTTAAATTCGTAATTTAGTTATTGATTAATATTGTTAATTGGCTATATTTTTATTAAGATCCTTAAGTTTTCTGATAACAATCTGAAACATTTCAAATAAGGTAGCTTTTCGTCTTTGGAATGTCGCACGCTTATTGGATGGATATATGCATGCAGCAGAAAAGCGTCGGAAAATTACTTCGGAAATCCTCGCCTTAAATAAGTCTAAATTGAATAAAATGTTTTGTTAATTTTTAAAAGTTAAATAACCATACTTATATGTAAATATTAATTTTGTATTTATGTATTTGTGTGTGTGTATATTACATAAACATTTATATGTTTATAAATTTTTATCATGAATATGTGTTAATAAGTATATAATATAAATATATATGTATTAACTTACAATATTATATCATGATATATTTTGATTTTTTACGTGGTAGAGCCATGCTGCAGCTATATTAGTAGTATAGTTGTAGTACGAATGGGTCGGTTCGCCCGGGGAAGGCCCACGCTCTCACAGAAAACCAGCGTAAAATAGCAGCTTAACGCTGCTGTGTTTCGTATGGTAAGTGTAGAGAACCGGAGACCCTTTTTACTGGCAAAGAGGCATTCCATTTAGTCCTCACGGGTGACAACACATCTGCATCTTGAGTCTTTATTGAGGATAGATGTAGATGTCTATGGGCTACAGCAACCACTTACCATCAGGTGGACTGTGTGCTCGTTTGTCACCCTATACTATAAAAAAAATATGTAAATAATGTGTATTTATTTTAGATTAACATTTTTTCTTTTTTTAAATCGCTGCATCATGTCAAATTCTCACCACTCCACAGGTAGAGAATGCCTTTAGGCATTAAGCCCACCCTTTGTAATGCAATAAAGATTTTAAATAAATAAAAGCAAGTGATTTGTTTTGAAGTTTTCCTCTTAGACTAGTATCAAAAGTAGTTGTTTACTGGTTGTTAGCTGCGCGAGTGTGAGCTGGGCGCGATCGTGAACCGGGATCTGCAGCGGCGCATCCGCGCGGTGTCCGGCGTGACGCTTGAGCGCGCCGTGCTGCGCGCCGACGCGCGCCTGGCCGCGCGCCTCGCGCACCTGCTGGACACGCGCACGCGCCTCTGGCAGCAAGAGCCGCGCGCCGACACCGCCGACACCACCGCCACCACCGACACCGCCGACGACAAGCCCGCCGCGCCAGATGTAACTACCCCACTCACACTAACGCTCGTACTAGCCCGTCTAGTACCATACACAGTCGACACGCGCACGCGCCTCTGGCAGCACGAGCCGCGCGCCGACACCGCCGACACCACCGCCACCACCGACACCGCCGACGACAAGCCCGCCGCGCCAGATGTAACTACCCCACTCACACTAACGCTCGTACTAGCCCGTCTAGTACCATACACAGTCGACACGCGCACGCGCCTCTGGCAGCACGAGCCGCGCGCCGACACCGCCGACACCACCGCCACCACCGACACCGCCGACGACAAGCCCGCCGCGCCAGATGTAACTACCCCACTCACACTAACGCTCGTACTAGCCCGTCTAGTACCATACACAGTCGACACGCGCACGCGCCTCTGGCAGCACGAGCCGCGCGCCGACACCGCCGACACCACCGCCACCACCGACACCGCCGACGACAAGCCCGCCGCGCCAGATGTAACTACCCCACTCACACTAACGCTCGTACTAGCCCGTCTAGTACCATACACAGTCGACACGCGCACGCGCCTCTGGCAGCACGAGCCGCGCGCCGACACCGCCGACACCACCGCCACCACCGACACCGCCGACGACAAGCCCGCCGCGCCAGATGTAACTACCCCACTCACACTAACGCTCGTACTAGCCCGTCTAGTACCATACACAGTCGACACGCGCACGCGCCTCTGGCAGCACGAGCCGCGCGCCGACACCGCCGACACCACCGCCACCACCGACACCGCCGACGACAAGCCCGCCGCGCCAGATGTAACTACCCCACTCACACTAACGCTCGTACTAGCCCGTCTAGTACCATACACAGTCGACACGCGCACGCGCCTCTGGCAGCACGAGCCGCGCGCCGACACCGCCGACACCACCGCCACCACCGACACCGCCGACGACAAGCCCGCCGCGCCAGATGTAACTACCCCACTCACACTAACGCTCGTACTAGCCCGTCTAGTACCATACACAGTCGACACGCGCACGCGCCTCTGGCAGCACGAGCCGCGCGCCGACACCGCCGACACCACCGCCACCACCGACACCGCCGACGACAAGCCCGCCGCGCCAGATGTAACTACCCCACTCACACTAACGCTCGTACTAGCCCGTCTAGTACCATACACAGTCGACACGCGCACGCGCCTCTGGCAGCACGAGCCGCGCGCCGACACCGCCGACACCACCGCCACCACCGACACCGCCGACGACAAGCCCGCCGCGCCAGATGTAACTACCCCACTCACACTAACGCTCGTACTAGCCCGTCTAGTACCATACACAGTCGACACGCGCACGCGCCTCTGGCAGCACGAGCCGCGCGCCGACACCGCCGACACCACCGCCACCACCGACACCGCCGACGACAAGCCCGCCGCGCCAGATGTAACTACCCCACTCACACTAACGCTCGTACTAGCCCGTCTAGTACCATACACAGTCGACACGCGCACGCGCCTCTGGCAGCACGAGCCGCGCGCCGACACCGCCGACACCACCGCCACCACCGACACCGCCGACGACAAGCCCGCCGCGCCAGATGTAACTACCCCACTCACACTAACGCTCGTACTAGCCCGTCTAGTACCATACACAGTCGACACGCGCACGCGCCTCTGGCAGCACGAGCCGCGCGCCGACACCGCCGACACCACCGCCACCACCGACACCGCCGACGACAAGCCCGCCGCGCCAGATGTAACTACCCCACTCACACTAACGCTCGTACTAGCCCGTCTAGTACCATACACAGTCGACACGCGCACGCGCCTCTGGCAGCACGAGCCGCGCGCCGACACCGCCGACACCACCGCCACCACCGACACCGCCGACGACAAGCCCGCCGCGCCAGATGTAACTACCCCACTCACACTAACGCTCGTACTAGCCCGTCTAGTACCATACACAGTCGACACGCGCACGCGCCTCTGGCAGCACGAGCCGCGCGCCGACACCGCCGACACCACCGCCACCACCGACACCGCCGACGACAAGCCCGCCGCGCCAGATGTAACTACCCCACTCACACTAACGCTCGTACTAGCCCGTCTAGTACCATACACAGTCGACACGCGCACGCGCCTCTGGCAGCACGAGCCGCGCGCCGACACCGCCGACACCACCGCCACCACCGACACCGCCGACGACAAGCCCGCCGCGCCAGATGTAACTACCCCACTCACACTAACGCTCGTACTAGCCCGTCTAGTACCATACACAGTCGACACGCGCACGCGCCTCTGGCAGCACGAGCCGCGCGCCGACACCGCCGACACCACCGCCACCACCGACACCGCCGACGACAAGCCCGCCGCGCCAGATGTAACTACCCCACTCACACTAACGCTCGTACTAGCCCGTCTAGTACCATACACAGTCGACACGCGCACGCGCCTCTGGCAGCACGAGCCGCGCGCCGACACCGCCGACACCACCGCCACCACCGACACCGCCGACGACAAGCCCGCCGCGCCAGATGTAACTACCCCACTCACACTAACGCTCGTACTAGCCCGTCTAGTACCATACACAGTCGACACGCGCACGCGCCTCTGGCAGCACGAGCCGCGCGCCGACACCGCCGACACCACCGCCACCACCGACACCGCCGACGACAAGCCCGCCGCGCCAGATGTAACTACCCCACTCACACTAACGCTCGTACTAGCCCGTCTAGTACCATACACAGTCGACACGCGCACGCGCCTCTGGCAGCACGAGCCGCGCGCCGACACCGCCGACACCACCGCCACCACCGACACCGCCGACGACAAGCCCGCCGCGCCAGATGTAACTACCCCACTCACACTAACGCTCGTACTAGCCCGTCTAGTACCATACACAGTCGACACGCGCACGCGCCTCTGGCAGCACGAGCCGCGCGCCGACACCGCCGACACCACCGCCACCACCGACACCGCCGACGACAAGCCCGCCGCGCCAGATGTAACTACCCCACTCACACTAACGCTCGTACTAGCCCGTCTAGTATCTGGCAGACACGAGCCGCGCGCCGACACCGCCGACACCACCGCCACCACCGACCACCGCCGACGACAAGCCCGGCCGCGCCAGATGTAACTACCCACAAGCCCGGCCAGATAACTCCCACTCACACTAACGCTCGTACTAGCCCGTCTAGTACCATACACCAGTCCGACACGCGCACGCGCCTCTGGCAGCCACGAGCCGCGCGCCGACACCGCCGACACCACCGCCACCACCGACACCGCCGACGACAAGCCCGCCGCGCCAGATGTAACTACCCCACTCACACTAACGCTCGTACTAGCCCGTCTAGTACCATACACAGTCGACACGCGCACGCGCCTCTGGCAGCACGAGCCGCGCGCCGACACCGCCGACACCACCGCCACCACCGACACCGCCGACGACAAGCCCGCCGCGCCAGATGTAACTACCCCACTCACACTAACGCTCGTACTAGCCCGTCTAGTACCATACACAGTCGACACGCGCACGCGCCTCTGGCAGCACGAGCCGCGCGCCGACACCGCCGACACCACCGCCACCACCGACACCGCCGACGACAAGCCCGCCGCGCCAGATGTAACTACCCCACTCACACTAACGCTCGTACTAGCCCGTCTAGTACCATACACAGTCGACACGCGCACGCGCCTCTGGCAGCAAGAGCCGCGCGCCGACACCGCCGACACCACCGCCACCACCGACACCGCCGACGACAAGCCCGCCGCGCCAGATGTAACTACCCCACTCACACTAACGCTCGTACTAGCCCGTCTAGTACCATACACAGTCGACACGCGCACGCGCCTCTGGCAGCAAGAGCCGCGCGCCGACACCGCCGACACCACCGCCACCACCGACACCGCCGACGACAAGCCCGCCGCGCCAGATGTAACTACCCCACTCACACTAACGCTCGTACTAGCCCGTCTAGTACCATACACAGTCGACACGCGCACGCGCCTCTGGCAGCAAGAGCCGCGCGCCGACACCGCCGACACCACCGCCACCACCGACACCGCCGACGACAAGCCCGCCGCGCCAGATGTAACTACCCCACTCACACTAACGCTCGTACTAGCCCGTCTAGTACCATACACAGTCGACACGCGCACGCGCCTCTGGCAGCAAGAGCCGCGCGCCGACACCGCCGACACCACCGCCACCACCGACACCGCCACCACCGACACCGCCGACGACAAGCCCGCCGCGCCAGATGTAACTACCCCACTCACACTAACGCTCGTACTAGCCCGTCTAGTACCATACACAGTCGACACGCGCACGCGCCTCTGGCAGCAAGAGCCGCGCGCCGACACCGCCGACACCACCGCCACCACCGACACCGCCGACGACAAGCCCGCCGCGCCAGATGTAACTACCCCACTCACACTAACGCTCGTACTAGCCCGTCTAGTACCATACACAGTCGACACGCGCACGCGCCTCTGGCAGCACGAGCCGCGCGCCGACACCGCCGACACCACCGCCACCACCGACACCGCCGACGACAAGCCCGCCGCGCCAGATGTAACTACCCCACTCACACTAACGCTCGTACTAGCCCGTCTAGTACCATACACAGTCGACACGCGCACGCGCCTCTGGCAGCACGAGCCGCGCGCCGACACCGCCGACACCACCGCCACCACCGACACCGCCGACGACAAGCCCGCCGCGCCAGATGTAACTACCCCACTCACACTAACGCTCGTACTAGCCCGTCTAGTACCATACACAGTCGACACGCGCACGCGCCTCTGGCAGCACGAGCCGCGCGCCGACACCGCCGACACCACCGCCACCACCGACACCGCCGACGACAAGCCCGCCGCGCCAGATGTAACTACCCCACTCACACTAACGCTCGTACTAGCCCGTCTAGTACCATACACAGTCGACACGCGCACGCGCCTCTGGCAGCACGAGCCGCGCGCCGACACCGCCGACACCACCGCCACCACCGACACCGCCGACGACAAGCCCGCCGCGCCAGATGTAACTACCCCACTCACACTAACGCTCGTACTAGCCCGTCTAGTACCATACACAGTCGACACGCGCACGCGCCTCTGGCAGCACGAGCCGCGCGCCGACACCGCCGACACCACCGCCACCACCGACACCGCCGACGACAAGCCCGCCGCGCCAGATGTAACTACCCCACTCACACTAACGCTCGTACTAGCCCGTCTAGTACCATACACAGTCGACACGCGCACGCGCCTCTGGCAGCACGAGCCGCGCGCCGACACCGCCGACACCACCGCCACCACCGACACCGCCGACGACAAGCCCGCCGCGCCAGATGTAACTACCCCACTCACACTAACGCTCGTACTAGCCCGTCTAGTACCATACACAGTCGACACGCGCACGCGCCTCTGGCAGCACGAGCCGCGCGCCGACACCGCCGACACCACCGCCACCACCGACACCGCCGACGACAAGCCCGCCGCGCCAGATGTAACTACCCCACTCACACTAACGCTCGTACTAGCCCGTCTAGTACCATACACAGTCGACACGCGCACGCGCCTCTGGCAGCACGAGCCGCGCGCCGACACCGCCGACACCACCGCCACCACCGACACCGCCGACGACAAGCCCGCCGCGCCAGATGTAACTACCCCACTCACACTAACGCTCGTACTAGCCCGTCTAGTACCATACACAGTCGACACGCGCACGCGCCTCTGGCAGCAAGAGCCGCGCGCCGACACCGCCGACACCACCGCCACCACCGACACCGCCGACGACAAGCCCGCCGCGCCAGATGTAACTACCCCACTCACACTAACGCTCGTACTAGCCCGTCTAGTACCATACACAGTCGACACGCGCACGCGCCTCTGGCAGCAAGAGCCGCGCGCCGACACCGCCGACACCACCGCCACCACCGACACCGCCGACGACAAGCCCGCCGCGCCAGATGTAACTACCCCACTCACACTAACGCTCGTACTAGCCCGTCTAGTACCATACACAGTCGGACACGCGCACGCGCCTCTGGCAGCAAGAGCCGCGCGCCGACACCGCCGACACCACCGCCACCACCGACACCGCCGACGACAAGCCCGCCGCGCCAGATGTAACTACCCCACTCACACTAACGCTCGTACTAGCCCGTCTAGTACCATACACAGTCGACACGCGCACGCGCCTCTGGCAGCAAGAGCCGCGCGCCGACACCGCCGACACCACCGCCACCACCGACACCGCCACCACCGACACCGCCGACGACAAGCCCGCCGCGCCAGATGTAACTACCCCACTCACACTAACGCTCGTACTAGCCCGTCTAGTACCATACACAGTCGACACGCGCACGCGCCTCTGGCAGCAAGAGCCGCGCGCCGACACCGCCGACACCACCGCCACCACCGACACCGCCGACGACAAGCCCGCCGCGCCAGATGTAACTACCCCACTCACACTAACGCTCGTACTAGCCCGTCTAGTACCATACACAGTCGACACGCGCACGCGCCTCTGGCAGCACGAGCCGCGCGCCGACACCGCCGACACCACCGCCACCACCGACACCGCCACCACCGACACCGCCGACGACAAGCCCGCCGCGCCAGATGTAACTACCCCACTCACACTAACGCTCGTACTAGCCCGTCTAGTACCATACACAGTCGACACGCGCACGCGCCTCTGGCAGCACGAGCCGCGCGCCGACACCGCCGACACCACCGCCACCACCGACACCGCCACCACCGACACCGCCGACGACAAGCCCGCCGCGCCAGATGTAACTACCCCACTCACACTAACGCTCGTACTAGCCCGTCTAGTACCATACACAGTCGACACGCGCACGCGCCTCTGGCAGCAAGAGCCGCGCGCCGACACCGCCGACACCACCGCCACCACCGACACCGCCGACGACAAGCCCGCCGCGCCAGATGTAACTACCCCACTCACACTAACGCTCGTACTAGCCCGTCTAGTACCATACACAGTCGACACGCGCACGCGCCTCTGGCAGCAAGAGCCGCGCGCCGACACCGCCGACACCACCGCCACCACCGACACCGCCGACGACAAGCCCGCCGCGCCAGATGTAACTACCCCACTCACACTAACGCTCGTACTAGCCCGTCTAGTACCATACACAGTCGACACGCGCACGCGCCTCTGGCAGCAAGAGCCGCGCGCCGACACCGCCGACACCACCGCCACCACCGACACCGCCGACGACAAGCCCGCCGCGCCAGATGTAACTACCCCACTCACACTAACGCTCGTACTAGCCCGTCTAGTACCATACACAGTCGACACGCGCACGCGCCTCTGGCAGCAAGAGCCGCGCGCCGACACCGCCGACACCACCGCCACCACCGACACCGCCGACGACAAGCCCGCCGCGCCAGATGTAACTACCCCACTCACACTAACGCTCGTACTAGCCCGTCTAGTACCATACACAGTCGACACGCGCACGCGCCTCTGGCAGCACGAGCCGCGCGCCGACACCGCCGACACCACCGCCACCACCGACACCGCCGACGACAAGCCCGCCGCGCCAGATGTAACTACCCCACTCACACTAACGCTCGTACTAGCCCGTCTAGTACCATACACAGTCGACACGCGCACGCGCCTCTGGCAGCAAGAGCCGCGCGCCGACACCGCCGACACCACCGCCACCACCGACACCGCCGACGACAAGCCCGCCGCGCCAGATGTAACTACCCCACTCACACTAACGCTCGTACTAGCCCGTCTAGTACCATACACAGTCGACACGCGCACGCGCCTCTGGCAGCACGAGCCGCGCGCCGACACCGCCGACACCACCGCCACCACCGACACCGCCGACGACAAGCCCGCCGCGCCAGATGTAACTACCCCACTCACACTAACGCTCGTACTAGCCCGTCTAGTACCATACACAGTCGACACGCGCACGCGCCTCTGGCAGCACGAGCCGCGCGCCGACACCGCCGACACCACCGCCACCACCGACACCGCCACCACCGACACCGCCGACGACAAGCCCGCCGCGCCAGATGTAACTACCCCACTCACACTAACGCTCGTACTAGCCCGTCTAGTACCATACACAGTCGACACGCGCACGCGCCTCTGGCAGCACGAGCCGCGCGCCGACACCGCCGACACCACCGCCACCACCGACACCGCCGACGACAAGCCCGCCGCGCCAGATGTAACTACCCCACTCACACTAACGCTCGTACTAGCCCGTCTAGTACCATACACAGTCGACACGCGCACGCGCCTCTGGCAGCACGAGCCGCGCGCCGACACCGCCGACACCACCGCCACCACCGACACCGCCGACGACAAGCCCGCCGCGCCAGATGTAACTACCCCACTCACACTAACGCTCGTACTAGCCCGTCTAGTACCATACACAGTCGACACGCGCACGCGCCTCTGGCAGCACGAGCCGCGCGCCGACACCGCCGACACCACCGCCACCACCGACACCGCCACCACCGACACCGCCGACGACAAGCCCGCCGCGCCAGATGTAACTACCCCACTCACACTAACGCTCGTACTAGCCCGTCTAGTACCATACACAGTCGACACGCGCACGCGCCTCTGGCAGCACGAGCCGCGCGCCGACACCGCCGACACCACCGCCACCACCGACACCGCCGACGACAAGCCCGCCGCGCCAGATGTAACTACCCCACTCACACTAACGCTCGTACTAGCCCGTCTAGTACCATACACAGTCGACACGCGCACGCGCCTCTGGCAGCACGAGCCGCGCGCCGACACCGCCGACACCACCGCCACCACCGACACCGCCGACGACAAGCCCGCCGCGCCAGATGTAACTACCCCACTCACACTAACGCTCGTACTAGCCCGTCTAGTACCATACACAGTCGACACGCGCACGCGCCTCTGGCAGCACGAGCCGCGCGCCGACACCGCCGACACCACCGCCACCACCGACACCGCCGACGACAAGCCCGCCGCGCCAGATGTAACTACCCCACTCACACTAACGCTCGTACTAGCCCGTCTAGTACCATACACAGTCGACACGCGCACGCGCCTCTGGCAGCACGAGCCGCGCGCCGACACCGCCGACACCACCGCCACCACCGACACCGCCGACGACAAGCCCGCCGCGCCAGATGTAACTACCCCACTCACACTAACGCTCGTACTAGCCCGTCTAGTACCATACACAGTCGACACGCGCACGCGCCTCTGGCAGCACGAGCCGCGCGCCGACACCGCCGACACCACCGCCACCACCGACACCGCCGACGACAAGCCCGCCGCGCCAGATGTAACTACCCCACTCACACTAACGCTCGTACTAGCCCGTCTAGTACCATACACAGTCGACACGCGCACGCGCCTCTGGCAGCACGAGCCGCGCGCCGACACCGCCGACACCACCGCCACCACCGACACCGCCGACGACAAGCCCGCCGCGCCAGATGTAACTACCCCACTCACACTAACGCTCGTACTAGCCCGTCTAGTACCATACACAGTCGACACGCGCACGCGCCTCTGGCAGCACGAGCCGCGCGCCGACACCGCCGACACCACCGCCACCACCGACACCGCCGACGACAAGCCCGCCGCGCCAGATGTAACTACCCCACTCACACTAACGCTCGTACTAGCCCGTCTAGTACCATACACAGTCGACACGCGCACGCGCCTCTGGCAGCACGAGCCGCGCGCCGACACGCCGACACCCGCCACCACCGACACCGCCACCACCGACACCGCCGACGACAAGCCCGCCGCGCCAGATGTAACTACCCCACTCACACTAACGCTCGTACTAGCCCGTCTAGTACCATACACAGTCGACACGCGCACGCGCCTCTGGCAGCACGAGCCGCGCGCCGACACCGCCGACACCACCGCCACCACCGACACCGCCGACGACAAGCCCGCCGCGCCAGATGTAACTACCCCACTCACACTAACGCTCGTACTAGCCCGTCTAGTACCATACACAGTCGACACGCGCACGCGCCTCTGGCAGCACGAGCCGCGCGCCGACACCGCCGACACCACCGCCACCACCGACACCGCCGACGACAAGCCCGCCGCGCCAGATGTAACTACCCCACTCACACTAACGCTCGTACTAGCCCGTCTAGTACCATACACAGTCGACACGCGCACGCGCCTCTGGCAGCACGAGCCGCGCGCCGACACCGCCGACACCACCGCCACCACCGACACCGCACCCGACACCGCCGACGACAAGCCCGCCGCGCCAGATGTAACTACCCCACTCACACTAACGCTCGTACTAGCCCGTCTAGTACCATACACAGTCGACACGCGCACGCGCCTCTGGCAGCACGAGCCGCGCGCCGACACCGCCGACACCACCGCCACCACCGACACCGCCGACGACAAGCCCGCCGCGCCAGATGTAACTACCCCACTCACACTAACGCTCGTACTAGCCCGTCTAGTACCATACACAGTCGACACGCGCACGCGCCTCTGGCAGCACGAGCCGCGCGCCGACACCGCCGACACCACCGCCACCACCGACACCGCCGACGACAAGCCCGCCGCGCCAGATGTAACTACCCCACTCACACTAACGCTCGTACTAGCCCGTCTAGTACCATACACAGTCGACACGCGCACGCGCCTCTGGCAGCACGAGCCGCGCGCCGACACCGCCGACACCACCGCCACCACCGACACCGCCGACGACAAGCCCGCCGCGCCAGATGTAACTACCCCACTCACACTAACGCTCGTACTAGCCCGTCTAGTACCATACACAGTCGACACGCGCACGCGCCTCTGGCAGCACGAGCCGCGCGCCGACACCGCCGACACCACCGCCACCACCGACACCGCCGACGACAAGCCCGCCGCGCCAGATGTAACTACCCCACTCACACTAACGCTCGTACTAGCCCGTCTAGTACCATACACAGTCGACACGCGCACGCGCCTCTGGCAGCACGAGCCGCGCGCCGACACCGCCGACACCACCGCCACCACCGACACCGCCGACGACAAGCCCGCCGCGCCAGATGTAACTACCCCACTCACACTAACGCTCGTACTAGCCCGTCTAGTACCATACACAGTCGACACGCGCACGCGCCTCTGGCAGCACGAGCCGCGCGCCGACACCGCCGACACCACCGCCACCACCGACACCGCCGACGACAAGCCCGCCGCGCCAGATGTAACTACCCCACTCACACTAACGCTCGTACTAGCCCGTCTAGTACCATACACAGTCGACACGCGCACGCGCCTCTGGCAGCACGAGCCGCGCGCCGACACCGCCGACACCACCGCCACCACCGACACCGCCGACGACAAGCCCGCCGCGCCAGATGTAACTACCCCACTCACACTAACGCTCGTACTAGCCCGTCTAGTACCATACACAGTCGACACGCGCACGCGCCTCTGGCAGCACGAGCCGCGCGCCGACACCGCCGACACCACCGCCACCGACCGCACCACCGACACCGCCGACGACAAGCCCGCCGCGCCAGATGTAACTACCCCACTCACACTAACGCTCGTACTAGCCCGTCTAGTACCATACACAGTCGACACGCGCACGCGCCTCTGGCAGCACGAGCCGCGCGCCGACACCGCCGACACCACCGCCACCACCGACACCGCCGACGACAAGCCCGCCGCGCCAGATGTAACTACCCCACTCACACTAACGCTCGTACTAGCCCGTCTAGTACCATACACAGTCGACACGCGCACGCGCCTCTGGCAGCACGAGCCGCGCGCCGACACCGCCGACACCACCGCCACCACCGACACCGCCGACGACAAGCCCGCCGCGCCAGATGTAACTACCCCACTCACACTAACGCTCGTACTAGCCCGTCTAGTACCATACACAGTCGACACGCGCACGCGCCTCTGGCAGCACGAGCCGCGCGCCGACACCGCCGACACCACCGCCACCACCGACACCGCCGACGACAAGCCCGCCGCGCCAGATGTAACTACCCCACTCACACTAACGCTCGTACTAGCCCGTCTAGTACCATACACAGTCGACACGCGCACGCGCCTCTGGCAGCACGAGCCGCGCGCCGACACCGCCGACACCACCGCCACCACCGACACCGCCGACGACAAGCCCGCCGCGCCAGATGTAACTACCCCACTCACACTAACGCTCGTACTAGCCCGTCTAGTACCATACACAGTCGACACGCGCACGCGCCTCTGGCAGCACGAGCCGCGCGCCGACACCGCCGACACCACCGCCACCACCGACACCGCCGACGACAAGCCCGCCGCGCCAGATGTAACTACCCCACTCACACTAACGCTCGTACTAGCCCGTCTAGTACCATACACAGTCGACACGCGCACGCGCCTCTGGCAGCACGAGCCGCGCGCCGACACCGCCGACACCACCGCCACCACCGACACCGCCGACGACAAGCCCGCCGCGCCAGATGTAACTACCCCACTCACACTAACGCTCGTACTAGCCCGTCTAGTACCATACACAGTCGACACGCGCACGCGCCTCTGGCAGCACGAGCCGCGCGCCGACACCGCCGACACCACCGCCCACCCCACCGCCACCACCGACACCGCCGACGACAAGCCCGCCGCGCCAGATGTAACTACCCCACTCACACTAACGCTCGTACTAGCCCGTCTAGTACCATACACAGTCGACACGCGCACGCGCCTCTGGCAGCACGAGCCGCGCGCCGACACCGCCGACACCACCGCCACCACCGACACCGCCGACGACAAGCCCGCCGCGCCAGATGTAACTACCCCACTCACACTAACGCTCGTACTAGCCCGTCTAGTACCATACACAGTCGACACGCGCACGCGCCTCTGGCAGCACGAGCCGCGCGCCGACACCGCCGACACCACCGCCACCACCGACACCGCCGACGACAAGCCCGCCGCGCCAGATGTAACTACCCCACTCACACTAACGCTCGTACTAGCCCGTCTAGTACCATACACAGTCGACACGCGCACGCGCCTCTGGCAGCACGAGCCGCGCGCCGACACCGCCGACACCACCGCCACCACCGACACCGCCGACGACAAGCCCGCCGCGCCAGATGTAACTACCCCACTCACACTAACGCTCGTACTAGCCCGTCTAGTACCATACACAGTCGACACGCGCACGCGCCTCTGGCAGCACGAGCCGCGCGCCGACACCGCCGACACCACCGCCACCACCGACACCGCCGACGACAAGCCCGCCGCGCCAGATGTAACTACCCCACTCACACTAACGCTCGTACTAGCCCGTCTAGTACCATACACAGTCGACACGCGCACGCGCCTCTGGCAGCAAGAGCCGCGCGCCGACACCGCCGACACCACCGCCACCACCGACACCGCCGACGACAAGCCCGCCGCGCCAGATGTAACTACCCCACTCACACTAACGCTCGTACTAGCCCGTCTAGTACCATACACAGTCGACACGCGCACGCGCCTCTGGCAGCACGAGCCGCGCGCCGACACCGCCGACACCACCGCCACCACCGACACCGCCGACGACAAGCCCGCCGCGCCAGATGTAACTACCCCACTCACACTAACGCTCGTACTAGCCCGTCTAGTACCATACACAGTCGACACGCGCACGCGCCTCTGGCAGCACGAGCCGCGCGCCGACACCGCCGACACCACCGCCACCGACACCGCCACCACCGACACCGCCGACGACAAGCCCGCCGCGCCAGATGTAACTACCCCACTCACACTAACGCTCGTACTAGCCCGTCTAGTACCATACACAGTCGACACGCGCACGCGCCTCTGGCAGCACGAGCCGCGCGCCGACACCGCCGACACCACCGCCACCACCGACACCGCCGACGACAAGCCCGCCGCGCCAGATGTAACTACCCCACTCACACTAACGCTCGTACTAGCCCGTCTAGTACCATACACAGTCGACACGCGCACGCGCCTCTGGCAGCACGAGCCGCGCGCCGACACCGCCGACACCACCGCCACCACCGACACCGCCGACGACAAGCCCGCCGCGCCAGATGTAACTACCCCACTCACACTAACGCTCGTACTAGCCCGTCTAGTACCATACACAGTCGACACGCGCACGCGCCTCTGGCAGCACGAGCCGCGCGCCGACACCGCCGACACCACCGCCACCACCGACACCGCCACCACCGACACCGCCGACGACAAGCCCGCCGCGCCAGATGTAACTACCCCACTCACACTAACGCTCGTACTAGCCCGTCTAGTACCATACACAGTCGACACGCGCACGCGCCTCTGGCAGCACGAGCCGCGCGCCGACACCGCCGACACCACCGCCACCACCGACACCGCCGACGACAAGCCCGCCGCGCCAGATGTAACTACCCCACTCACACTAACGCTCGTACTAGCCCGTCTAGTACCATACACAGTCGACACGCGCACGCGCCTCTGGCAGCACGAGCCGCGCGCCGACACCGCCGACACCACCGCCACCACCGACACCGCCGACGACAAGCCCGCCGCGCCAGATGTAACTACCCCACTCACACTAACGCTCGTACTAGCCCGTCTAGTACCATACACAGTCGACACGCGCACGCGCCTCTGGCAGCACGAGCCGCGCGCCGACACCGCCGACACCACCGCCACCACCGACACCGCCGACGACAAGCCCGCCGCGCCAGATGTAACTACCCCACTCACACTAACGCTCGTACTAGCCCGTCTAGTACCATACACAGTCGACACGCGCACGCGCCTCTGGCAGCACGAGCCGCGCGCCGACACCGCCGACACCACCGCCACCACCGACACCGCCGACGACAAGCCCGCCGCGCCAGATGTAACTACCCCACTCACACTAACGCTCGTACTAGCCCGTCTAGTACCATACACAGTCGACACGCGCACGCGCCTCTGGCAGCACGAGCCGCGCGCCGACACCGCCGACACCACCGCCACCACCGACACCGCCGACGACAAGCCCGCCGCGCCAGATGTAACTACCCCACTCACACTAACGCTCGTACTAGCCCGTCTAGTACCATACACAGTCGACACGCGCACGCGCCTCTGGCAGCAAGAGCCGCGCGCCGACACCGCCGACACCACCGCCACCACCGACACCGCCGACGACAAGCCCGCCGCGCCAGATGTAACTACCCCACTCACACTAACGCTCGTACTAGCCCGTCTAGTACCATACACAGTCGACACGCGCACGCGCCTCTGGCAGCACGAGCCGCGCGCCGACACCGCCGACACCACCGCCACCACCGACACCGCCGACGACAAGCCCGCCGCGCCAGATGTAACTACCCCACTCACACTAACGCTCGTACTAGCCCGTCTAGTACCATACACAGTCGACACGCGCACGCGCCTCTGGCAGCACGAGCCGCGCGCCGACACCGCCGACACCACCGCCACCACCGACACCGCCACCACCGACACCGCCGACGACAAGCCCGCCGCGCCAGATGTAACTACCCCACTCACACTAACGCTCGTACTAGCCCGTCTAGTACCATACACAGTCGACACGCGCACGCGCCTCTGGCAGCACGAGCCGCGCGCCGACACCGCCGACACCACCGCCACCACCGACACCGCCGACGACAAGCCCGCCGCGCCAGATTGTAACTACCCCACTCACACTAACGCTCGTACTAGCCCGTCTAGTACCATACACAGTCGACACGCGCACGCGCCTCTGGCAGCACGAGCCGCGCGCCGACACCGCCGACACCACCGCCACCACCGACACCGCCGACGACAAGCCCGCCGCGCCAGATGTAACTACCCCACTCACACTAACGCTCGTACTAGCCCGTCTAGTACCATACACAGTCGACACGCGCACGCGCCTCTGGCAGCACGAGCCGCGCGCCGACACCGCCGACACCACCGCCACCACCGACACCGCCACCACCGACACCGCCGACGACAAGCCCGCCGCGCCAGATGTAACTACCCCACTCACACTAACGCTCGTACTAGCCCGTCTAGTACCATACACAGTCGACACGCGCACGCGCCTCTGGCAGCACGAGCCGCGCGCCGACACCGCCGACACCACCGCCACCACCGACACCGCCGACGACAAGCCCGCCGCGCCAGATGTAACTACCCCACTCACACTAACGCTCGTACTAGCCCGTCTAGTACCATACACAGTCGACACGCGCACGCGCCTCTGGCAGCACGAGCCGCGCGCCGACACCGCCGACACCACCGCCACCACCGACACCGCCGACGACAAGCCCGCCGCGCCAGATGTAACTACCCCACTCACACTAACGCTCGTACTAGCCCGTCTAGTACCATACACAGTCGACACGCGCACGCGCCTCTGGCAGCACGAGCCGCGCGCCGACACCGCCGACACCACCGCCACCACCGACACCGCCGACGACAAGCCCGCCGCGCCAGATGTAACTACCCCACTCACACTAACGCTCGTACTAGCCCGTCTAGTACCATACACAGTCGACACGCGCACGCGCCTCTGGCAGCACGAGCCGCGCGCCGACACCGCCGACACCACCGCCACCACCGACACCGCCGACGACAAGCCCGCCGCGCCAGATGTAACTACCCCACTCACACTAACGCTCGTACTAGCCCGTCTAGTACCATACACAGTCGACACGCGCACGCGCCTCTGGCAGCACGAGCCGCGCGCCGACACCGCCGACACCACCGCCACCACCGACACCGCCGACGACAAGCCCGCCGCGCCAGATGTAACTACCCCACTCACACTAACGCTCGTACTAGCCCGTCTAGTACCATACACAGTCGACACGCGCACGCGCCTCTGGCAGCACGAGCCGCGCGCCGACACCGCCGACACCACCGCCACCACCGACACCGCCGACGACAAGCCCGCCGCGCCAGATGTAACTACCCCACTCACACTAACGCTCGTACTAGCCCGTCTAGTACCATACACAGTCGACACGCGCACGCGCCTCTGGCAGCAAGAGCCGCGCGCCGACACCGCCGACACCACCGCCACCACCGACACCGCCGACGACAAGCCCGCCGCGCCAGATGTAACTACCCCACTCACACTAACGCTCGTACTAGCCCGTCTAGTACCATACACAGTCGACACGCGCACGCGCCTCTGGCAGCACGAGCCGCGCGCCGACACCGCCGACACCACCGCCACCACCGACACCGCCACCACCGACACCGCCGACGACAAGCCCGCCGCGCCAGATGTAACTACCCCACTCACACTAACGCTCGTACTAGCCCGTCTAGTACCATACACAGTCGACACGCGCACGCGCCTCTGGCAGCACGAGCCGCGCGCCGACACCGCCGACACCACCGCCACCACCGACACCGCCGACGACAAGCCCGCCGCGCCAGATGTAACTACCCCACTCACACTAACGCTCGTACTAGCCCGTCTAGTACCATACACAGTCGACACGCGCACGCGCCTCTGGCAGCACGAGCCGCGCGCCGACACCGCCGACACCACCGCCACCACCGACACCGCCGACGACAAGCCCGCCGCGCCAGATGTAACTACCCCACTCACACTAACGCTCGTACTAGCCCGTCTAGTACCATACACAGTCGACACGCGCACGCGCCTCTGGCAGCACGAGCCGCGCGCCGACACCGCCGACACCACCGCCACCACCGACACCGCCGACGACAAGCCCGCCGCGCCAGATGTAACTACCCCACTCACACTAACGCTCGTACTAGCCCGTCTAGTACCATACACAGTCGACACGCGCACGCGCCTCTGGCAGCACGAGCCGCGCGCCGACACCGCCGACACCACCGCCACCACCGACACCGCCGACGACAAGCCCGCCGCGCCAGATGTAACTACCCCACTCACACTAACGCTCGTACTAGCCCGTCTAGTACCATACACAGTCGACACGCGCACGCGCCTCTGGCAGCACGAGCCGCGCGCCGACACCGCCGACACCACCGCCACCACCGACACCGCCGACGACAAGCCCGCCGCGCCAGATGTAACTACCCCACTCACACTAACGCTCGTACTAGCCCGTCTAGTACCATACACAGTCGACACGCGCACGCGCCTCTGGCAGCAAGAGCCGCGCGCCGACACCGCCGACACCACCGCCACCACCGACACCGCCGACGACAAGCCCGCCGCGCCAGATGTAACTACCCCACTCACACTAACGCTCGTACTAGCCCGTCTAGTACCATACACAGTCGACACGCGCACGCGCCTCTGGCAGCACGAGCCGCGCGCCGACACCGCCGACACCACCGCCACCACCGACACCGCCACCACCGACACCGCCGACGACAAGCCCGCCGCGCCAGATGTAACTACCCCACTCACACTAACGCTCGTACTAGCCCGTCTAGTACCATACACAGTCGACACGCGCACGCGCCTCTGGCAGCACGAGCCGCGCGCCGACACCGCCGACACCACCGCCACCACCGACACCGCCGACGACAAGCCCGCCGCGCCAGATGTAACTACCCCACTCACACTAACGCTCGTACTAGCCCGTCTAGTACCATACACAGTCGACACGCGCACGCGCCTCTGGCAGCACGAGCCGCGCGCCGACACCGCCGACACCACCGCCACCACCGACACCGCCGACGACAAGCCCGCCGCGCCAGATGTAACTACCCCACTCACACTAACGCTCGTACTAGCCCGTCTAGTACCATACACAGTCGACACGCGCACGCGCCTCTGGCAGCACGAGCCGCGCGCCGACACCGCCGACACCACCGCCACCACCGACACCGCCGACGACAAGCCCGCCGCGCCAGATGTAACTACCCCACTCACACTAACGCTCGTACTAGCCCGTCTAGTACCATACACAGTCGACACGCGCACGCGCCTCTGGCAGCACGAGCCGCGCGCCGACACCGCCGACACCACCGCCACCACCGACACCGCCGACGACAAGCCCGCCGCGCCAGATGTAACTACCCCACTCACACTAACGCTCGTACTAGCCCGTCTAGTACCATACACAGTCGACACGCGCACGCGCCTCTGGCAGCACGAGCCGCGCGCCGACACCGCCGACACCACCGCCACCACCGACACCGCCGACGACAAGCCCGCCGCGCCAGATGTAACTACCCCACTCACACTAACGCTCGTACTAGCCCGTCTAGTACCATACACAGTCGACACGCGCACGCGCCTCTGGCAGCACGAGCCGCGCGCCGACACCGCCGACACCACCGCCACCACCGACACCGCCGACGACAAGCCCGCCGCGCCAGATGTAACTACCCCACTCACACTAACGCTCGTACTAGCCCGTCTAGTACCATACACAGTCGACACGCGCACGCGCCTCTGGCAGCACGAGCCGCGCGCCGACTCTGCCGACACCACCGACACCGCCGACGACTAGCCCGCCTATGTACCGATTCACCATATTCTTTAAAAAAAAATCAGTTAAATCAAATTCCAATGCCGTCCTTCCAATAGCCTTTAAAGCGCATTAATAGGTGCTGCCAATAGTAAATCAATTATTTAATCTTAATCTTGTTGAATAGGAGTAACACAGGATAGGAAGAGTGATTAGATTCATATCTTTCCATTATAGTTGGAAGTTGTTGCACTATATGGAATTTTGAAGACATTAATGCCGTCATAGTGATATTGTGATATTCGTAAAAATCATACCAAAACGAGCTTTGGGTGAGACATACTTGGATTGTTACGATAAGAAGCTTACTGGCACCAGTTTCGGTTGTCAGATTTTTTTAGCAAATTATGATTTTTTGACAAATAAGCTAATCTTCCTTAATTATGGCCTTATACAGAGCTTCAGTCTGAATTCCAAGAATCCTGTGCTGCATAAAATAACTGAGCATTTAATTGAAGAAGCTTCAACAGAAGAGGAAGAGTTACTTGGTCTTGAAGCAACTTCTGAATCGGTTGCAAGTGAACAACCCGACCCTGAGTTGATTCGCGTTTTGGATCGTCTCGTACTCTACTTGCGTATCGTACACTCGGTGGACTATTACAATCACTGCGAGTATCCATATGAAGACGAAATGCCCAATCGTTGCGGTATAATGCACGCGCGTTCTGGACCACCAGCTAATAAGGTGCTTGTAAATTCATTTCTATTACAACTTCTTTATTAATTTCTACGACAGATTATAATAATATCTTTTAAAATCAAGGACAATAAAGGACCTCCTGATAAGTCTTTGACAATATTTAATATTGTACAATATATTAAATAAGTAAATGTATGTCTTATACAAAATGTATAACTTAATACTCCAAAAATACAACTCCTCTTATTTATCCTCTTATTTTAGCCAACACAACAAGAAATTCAGGACTACATTAAGACTTTTGAAAGCAAGATGTCTGCTTTTTTACAAGATGCTAAACCACTTTCTGATGAGGAATTGCAGAAGCTTGGTATTAAGGTGAGCTTCACGTTTCAAGTATTCTTTTGTCACGTAATTTATATTTTCATGTAATTTTGAAACAATACTTTATATTTTTACAGGATCCGGATGTAGAAGTAGAAAAGTTTATCCAGGCCAATACACAAGAATTGTCAAAAGACAAATGGTTGTGCCCCCTGAGTGGTAAGAAGTTCAAAGGACCCGATTTTATCAGAAAGCATATTTTCAACAAGCATGCTGAGAAGGTAAATGTCCTTAATATAATCTAATTTATAAGAAGCTTATAAGTACAAAATGTAGAACATCAGCAGTAAAGATAATGAATTGTTGGACTGAATTCTATTTGAAATAAAAAAAAAACATATTATTTCCTATCGTAATATGCAGATTTAGTGCTTGTAAAAAGTGAAATTATTTTTTTTGTTTTCGACTCAGTTTGAGCACATCATTACCTACTTCTAATTTCGAAGTTCTAATTATATCGACGATATGTGTAAATGCACCTAAGTTGTTCACGTTAAGTAAATATGTGTAACGTTGATGTGGCTACTCAGACCAACAAAAAAAGACGAAGCGCTTCGTACATTTTAAGTGATGCCGCTATCGTATCGTGTGCCGATTTCTTGACATGCACTTACGCATACATCTTTCTTCTTTCCTCGTTTATCAGACCGTAAAAGTTCATTGCTGGACACAGATATACAGGGTTATTTTGCAATAACCGGCCAAATTTACTAAGAAAGTTCAGAATAAGTAATAAGGCAAATGGCGACGAAAAATTAATTGAAAAACTCGAAACATTCTGTCTATTTAATCTTTTAAATTCAAAATGCGTGGTAATGCATTATTTTAATTGATTTTACTGCGCACGCACACTTTCGTAAAGGTCGATCGGTAGGCAAAAACGTTGTTGTTCATAAATCACATTCAATTTGGGATAATTTCAAATAAATGTAGAACTTTTATTTACTTGTATTTTCAAAAACTGCAATAACAGTATATCAATATTTATAGTATACTAGCTGGCCAGGCAGACGTTGTTCTGCCCTCTCCAACGATCCTGTGTCCTATAATTTTTTATAATAAAAAATATTGAGGGTCACTTATAGGGATAAAAACTATCCTATCTCTCAAGTTGAGCCAAACTGCACACAGTGTGCAAATTTCATTGAAATCAGTTTAGTAGTTTTGGAGTTCATCGCGGACAAACAATGTGACACGTAATTTTTATATATAAAGATTTGAAGTTAAGTTTAAAATTTTATTACTCTGAAAAATAATTCCGTATATACGCCATATACACCTAAAACCATGTATTTTTTTTATAGAATACGGGTGTCAAACAAGCATAGAGTACACATTCATTCTACAAAAGAAAAATGTAATTGAATAAGACACAGTTCACCTGATGGTAGGTGGATGCTGTTGTCCATATTCATCTACATCTGTATTCGATTAAGAATCAAAATGCTTCGTCGCCTCTGAGGACTAAGACGGAATTTCTCGTTTCCAGTAAAAATTGTCTCCGGTTCTCTACACTCACCATAAGAAACAGCAGCATACTAAGCTACGAGTACTATCTTATGCTGTTATTTTGTGATAGTGGCCCTTACCCGGACGCACCGACTTAGTCGTGCTACAACTATAATATAACTACAACCTGGCTGTACCACCTGTGTACGTAAATGCGTGTTCTTACAACTACTCGAGCATAGTTTTAGTTTGGTTATTGCCTCATTTGAAATGTGTGCAGCGCTCCGTCTTTCATTATTTACTGGTCTGTGTGTGTATATGTGTACGAATGAGCAATGAGAGTCCGACGTACAGGTGGAGGAGGTGCGGCGCGAGGTGGCGTATTTCAACGCGTACGTGCGCGACGTGCGGCGCCCGCAGCAGCCCGAGCCGCCCGCGCGCCCCGCGCCCGCGCACCACGCGCCGCCGCCCGCGCCGTACGTGCACAACGCACACACACACACACACACACACACCCACACGCACCCACACTTATGCTGGGGCCACAGTAACGGGAAAAGTCAATGCCCATAAACGCAACAATTATTGCTTTAATTTTAACAGTGGCTACACGAGAACGGTCAACGTCATTTCAATTTCAATGCCATTGAACTGCTTCGTCAACATCGCAAAATGATGCTTGGCGACGAATTATGCAATTATTACCTTTTAAAATAACTATCGAATAAATTAAAAAGAAGAAGAGTATTCAAGGAACATTAAAGCCAATTTTAACGCCGTTCAATGGCATTCAAATTTTTTTTTATTTAATAATTTATTTTGCTAAATAGACTGCCTCACTCACTCACTTCGGGCTCAGCCGCCGTCGTTAGTGGATGATACTGTATCGGTTGTATGCAGCGACTCGTGCTCATTTTTATTAGAATATTTTAAAAGCACAGAATAAATTATAGTACTACGTACTAAAAGTAAGTAGTAATTTATCTTAAATACGTCTTGGACTGTATGGAATGACCTGAATGATGATATGATGATTATATGAGCATTAAGATTTGGATTTCTTTGGATTTTCCAAACTTTTTTAAATTGAAGTTTTACTTAAAATTATCGGAAAATTGGAAGTATAATAATAAGGTTATAAGTGAAAACTTGTGTATTTAAACTACTTTAAAATTTTACGTATAATCATATTATACGTAATTTTTTTAATGAGCTTAAGGCATGTGAAATTAGATTTACCAATAGTTTTTATATCTGTCTGGTTTTAATATCAATACATAATATAGAAGGAAAAGAAAAATTAAAATAAAAAAAAAACACTTTCCGTCATTTTTCAATTGTTTTTCTGTCCGCCAAAATGAGTCTAGAAACTGATAAACTTTTATTTAAAACGAACTTCTCAATTAAATGACATTGTGTAACAAAAAACTTTACCTCAGTGTCAACTAGTGACATCTGGTGAGTAGAAAATTATTAGCCCTCATTAATTGTATAGTTGTATAGTATAGCTTAGTTGTAGAACGAATGGGTCGGCTCGACCGAGGAAGGACCACGCTCTCACAGAATACCAGCTTAATGCTGCTGTGTATCGTATGGTAAGTAGAGAACCGGAGATCCTTTTTACTGGAAAAGAGGCATTCCATCTTAGTCCTCACGGCTGACAACGCAAACGCATCTGCATTTTGATTCGCAAACGAGGATAGATGTAGATTCTCTATGGGCCGCAGCAACCACTTACTCAGGTGGACTGTTTGCTCACTTGTCACCCTTATCCTAAAAAAAATGCATCCACCATATAGACCTGTCCTTGCACCCACAGATTTTCACCTGTTTCGGTCTCTTCAGAATTCTTTGGGTAGTCATCAAGAAAGGACTGTCAAAACTACTTGCATTGTACTACTTGAGTTTGTATATAAAATACGAAGAAACTTTCCCCGACCTGTGTACTAGATTAGACTGGTTATATTTTTAATTTCTCGTAAAAATGTTATTCTTTCCATTCATATCTTTAATTATTTTGCATTTGTCAATATGTATTTTTGTATCGGAAGCAAATTCCTTTTCAAATGGTTTTCAATGACTGACTATACTAGCATTGTACAAGCCGACCTCATCTAAACTTACTCGCAACTTTGCAACAGCGCGACTCATAGAAATTATAAAAAAATAGTCTTGTTTAATTCATGTTTCATATAATTTATGCAACTCTAAAAATAAAAATTTTAATTAACAAATAATAAATTTAAAAATGTATGTAAAGGTTAGATTATTTGAATATTTTTACCGATTATTCGCATTAGCATGCATTTGGATCGTCCAAACACTACGGTAAGGTGCTAAACGATATATCATTGAAACGACGTCAAGCATAAAAGTTGATTCTGGTCATTTTAAAAATATTATGCTTTGTTTGAAAGATTCAAATTGAAATTAACTATGCCTTTTGTAATGAAATATAGATAATTTTATAATTCTTTAGATTTACTTAAATGGTAATTTTAAATCATGT